TGTGCAGAGACTTGCTCGTCTCTCGGCCTCTCGGCTTTTTTTTTATCTTGTTAAACTGTCTTCTTCCTCCATGACGCATTACTTCATTCTTCTACATTCCTCCCTCCCCCTAGTCGTCTTGCACTGATGCTGTGACATCCCCACGTATGGACTACACTCAGCCTAATTCTGTCTTGACATCAAACATCGTTTCAAGCAGACTTTGTTTTCTCGCAATACAGTCTTGTGGTTGTAGGCGTAGAACATGTCATACGCATCATCTATCACGCCAAACTATTCCTACTGGGCATGTACCACCACGGCTACTTCATCTTGTGCCATAATATTCATGTTCTATTCTTGTCCCCGCAATCTTCCCTGTTCAAATCCGTTCTTATGCTCGAAACTCCTCCGCGCAAACCACGAACGCACCAATGCGGTGAATGGACGCATTCACATTGGTTTGCTGAATTCGTTCGGAATTCGCAGTGGTTCCTCCCATGTGCATGTGCCTTTTGTGGAGTTCCTATTTTGGGACCCTGAGCCTTTCTATTTGAGCGCGGAATCTGTGCTCAGAGCCAGTTTCTTGCATCTCCAAAAGCGTTTGCATGTCGGAGAGAGAGAGAGCGCGCAAAAGACAGGACCTGATTGGCTGTGAGAAGGCGGAAACCGTGTGTGATGCTTTCATTGGACATGATCGTGTGGTCAGGCACAGTGTGGTGCTAGAAGGCCACAGTACGCACGAGCTTGTTACATGAAACTTGGAAAGTTCGAGCACGGACAGACCAATCACGTTTGCACCTAATCCACGCTGTTCGCTCTGAAAAAGTCTCGACGCATGATGCTTTGTCTGCGTATAAAAAAAACTCTGTCTAGATACCCTTGTTCGACAGAGATCGTGATTGTCCGCTGCGTCTCACTACGTGCTGGACATGCAGCTTTACACAAACATACTGTCAACGGTACTGGCACTGGCTACGGCCGCTGCGGCAGCACCTGTGAGCTCATCGATGCCAACACCAATTACACGGGGCCCAGTCGTTCCGCCTGAAACATTCACGGGTTTCAACCCATACAATTCACACTTTTATTCAACGCAGACGTTCTTGAGTTATTCTACGGCCCAGACTAGTCTCAAAAGCTCGGCCCATACTTCCGCGACTCATTCATAATGACAATGTTGATTCCCACGTCCTAGACGTTTCCTGCGATGGTGCGCGAATATCCTATACCAAGTCGCATTCGTGCGCATGATGACGAATATTGGTTGGATCTGCATGTATTCTCGTGATTATGTACAATAGCTAGCTGTGTTGTGCACATAGTCAAAAGTGCTGTTCTCTGTGTTTTTCGAGTCCCTTGATGATGTATGTGACTGGCTCGTTTGTTTCCCTCAATTGACGATTCTTTTTCTCTCACCCATTTCTTCTTTCCCCTTTTCCACTTTTCATTTCCTTTTCGATTTCCTTTCCCCACATGTCTTGGCACCTCGCCTATTTCCCTAGCCCTCCTTGGTCTTTTTCTCTATTACATTTTGTTCCCTTTGGATTCGATCCTGTTCCACTTTGTATCTTCCACTCTTCCGATCACTTCCCTTCGTTCTTCGTTCTTCCTTCTTTCTCCTTCCTCCTCCTACCTCTTGTGCCCTGCATTTCATACTTCTTCTCTTCTTCTCTATTGCAAGGTCTCCTCTCTACTTTTCCTTACCTTGGAAGCTCTGCCCTTGTCCCTATCTGTTTCTCGTTCAATCTCTCTTCTCATCATACTTTTCATGTCTCATTCACCACGGCGCGCATGTCCACGTCTGCCTCCTGTGCTGGTCCTTGCATCCCTCCTCTGTTCGTCCACTCCCTACTAGTCTCCCCATCCCTCCACCCTGGCCCCGTGTCGATTCCCCTCTAGCTTGTCTACCTTGTTCCCCCTTCTCCACTTCTTCTCCCCTCTCCCCTCTCCCCTCCCCTCTACCTTTGTACTCGTTTATGTCTCTCCGCCTCGCTTCTTCCGCTTCTCATTTCATTCACTGATTCCTACTTCTTTATAGCTCCTCTACATCTGAAAGACCCATCCATTTCCCGTTTCCTTTCACCATCCTGATCGACTTGACGAGCATGCCCGTCGCATTCTTCGACTCCCATCCATCATGTTCCGTACCGTCTTCGAGTACATATGTCAACTTGACATCCTTTCCTTCCCGCGTCGCCGCAAACTCGTGGTCCCCGTTGTATCCGCACATTCCCACAACCAGCGCCGGCGCCTTCTTCGAGCCATCCACTGTGCTTCCAAGAACACATTCATCTGGGGAATGGTCCAGCTCCAACACTCCATACCGCTTCTCGCTTCCCTTCTTTCCCTTCTTGCAGTCCAAGAACTTGTACTTCAGGTCGTTGTTGACCTCGTCTTGTTTCTTCACGAACTTAGCACCGTACATCACGCCTTCCTCCTTCACTCCGTATGTGTTCTCCCCGTCATGCAGCACAAGCGTGCCCCGGTACACTGGCTTGCACGCTTCTTCGGCTTCTTGCCCGCCGATATCCCTCTGTGTTACCGGCGAGGCCATCGACATCGCCATCATCGCTGCCATCATGCTTGCAAAAATGGATACCTTCATTGTTGAGTGCGTTGTTTTCCTCCTACCCGCTTCGCCTGCCGCGTTTTTATACTTTTGGCTTTATTTTGCGCAGGCCATTCTTTTCAGGGCCCCGGATTGCTACTCTGTTCCTTTTCCAAGCGAATCATGGTCCACTCCACAGACCTGTGCGGTCTTGGCATGTTTGCGCGTCACTTATTGGCTGGCCTCATGCGTGATGACTTTACTTGCCCCGGACTTGCGCAGCACGTCAAAGTTGTTCGTTCGGACGATGTGACCCATCAGTATGACGAACCAAGGCTGTGTAGTCGAAACGTGCTCTTTTTTCCATCATATGGATAGGTGGGTTTGCGCGCTACATGTTTCCCTGCATTCGGACAAGAGATCAGGTTCTATCGGCCATACACATAGAGAACGTGCTATGCTTCTCCCCGTGACTGTCTGTATGCTGTGCTTCGTCCTTGTCTTGTGCCTTTTTCTAAGGCTGGTATCTATGTGGGCTCATACCATGTCCGTGGTCACGTTAGACTGCTCACTTGGTTACCATTGTGACCCTCATCCTTGTCCTTCATATCCATGATCGCATCTCTCTCTCTCTTTCTCTCTTTCTCTCGTAACTCCATTCATACACATGCGATCATGTCTGCTCTTTCATTCTCCGTGTTTTTCGGCTCAATATGGTCACTGCAGCTCACCCCATCTCATCTGTGACATCCCCGCACTCCACCTTTCCCAATGGTTTACGCGCCACTCAGATCCACTGATGTTGATCATGTTTCTTCATCTTACCATCCTATGTTTCCAGCATCGCTTTTGTATTCTCATCCGTGCTATCGCTTTGCCAGGCATATCATGTGCTTCATCGCACTTCGCGGCTGCTCGTACAAACTTTTTTGTTTGTACCGTGAAGCCTATCTGACGGTGTTTTGCGCTCGCAAGTTGGTATCTTGATAGTGCCTCTTGTTCTTTGCCGTCTCCAGCCGAGCCTCATAGCATCCAAGGCCCATGTCAATAAACACACCCGCTCCTGACTTCGTGCCTGAACCCAGTGATGGAGCATTCGGGCACGCAATTGTGTCTGTGCTGGACCTAGCCGTCAATATGATGTCATTTGCGCTCTTTTTACTGACAGATTTGGCCTTCAATGGTCGTGTCTATGTGTTTGAGCGAGTTTCTTCGCGTTCAATCCAATCCACCCTCTCCCCCCCATTGTCATGTCAGACTTGCGCCATCAAGCACACGTGGCTTTTGAACAAAATTCCCTCCGTCGAAGCCGCTCAAATAAAATGTTCGTGAAATTTGGCCCAAAATGCACATATATTCCTCCACCCGCCTGTGGCTCTCGTACACTCATTTTTACCGTGTGCCAGCTGTCCCTCTAGCATCATTGCAGTAGAACGGTCCAGCTACTGGATAGAAATCCCACACAGCTGCACTTCTATTGCTTCAACATGCAGAGAGGACAGACCGAGAGCAGCTGGCAGGAAAGAAGCAATGGACTAAATAACGTGATGGATCGATCCATCTCTTTGCTACACTGATGCGGTAACAACTCGTTCAAGCTCTGTATGTACTACTGTGTTGAAAGTGCTGAGAAAACTACTTGTCAATCAAGGTCCTCGCAACGTCTTGTGATCTGATTGCATCTGCCATACTTTGCATTGTTCCTCCACGTAGGAAGGCACTTTCAGGACCTCCTTTGCCTTTTCTGGCGCTTGGACCATCACCATGGCCAGGCCTGCAGATAGATGCCAGTCCATGTGGCAGTGCATGAACCACGCACCTGGATTGCTCGCAAGGAATCTGATCGTTACGCTCCCGAATCCATCCACAGCCACAGTGTCCCTTCGCACTGGATTCTCTAGCTTATCGACTTCGGGAACCTGCGGCTTCTTACCGTCAGACCCGTATGCCCTGTGGACCACCTGGAACTTGGTGCCGTGCATGTGGAACGGATGTACATCATCGGACAAGTTCAAAATAGTCATTTCGACCATGCTATTGTATGGTGCAGTCACTGCATTCACGTTGCGTCCATATGTGCCTGCATCCATCGGGTTCGTCGTGTTCTTCGCCGTCACGGTCAACATCGTGGGCGTCTTTGGTGCAACATATGTTGTTCCATTGATCAGACCCATCGGCTTGCCGTGCTTGCGGCCCTCTTTCATCTTGACTTCAAGAGTCACCCGCATGTCAGGCTGATTCGACTCGATCTTCTCAACTGGCACGAGCTTTGTGTCGTCGAATGGCTTGACGTCCGTGCGGCGATTCTTTTTTCCATCTCCCATCTTTGCATCCTTTTGGCCGTAAGTGAGCGTGCCTGTCAAGTTGAGCTTGAGCGAGCCCACTTTCGGGAACGTGCCGCCCTCCAATTCGCATGGATGCGCCAGTTCTTATCGGTCTCATTTCGCGCCTTTACCAGCACACTGTATCGCTATCCAATGGCCACCTGAACAGACTCAATTGGATACCGTTCCACGTCCACGCCATCGACCTCGATCACCTCCATGTCATGACCCTCAAGCCAGAAATCAAATACAGAGGCAGCTGACATGTTAATCAGCCGCAATCGATACGTTTTGCCAGGCTCAAACGGTAAAGTCGCATTCTCATTGATGCCCTTCAACGTTTTGGCCGTATGGTTGGCTTTCGTGTGCGCAAAATACAACAGACCGGAGTCAGGCGTCTGATAGTCACCGCCATTTGTCATGTAGTCGTGTCGCATAATGTATCCGTGCTGGTGGTGGTACCAGTCTGCCATCACGACCGTGTAGTCGTCGTCGTAGTCGTACGCCTCTCCTTCAGAACGGTGAATAATGAATGGTGTCCGAAGGCCATCAATATATTGACCCTTGTAGTGTCCATGCAGCCAATAGGTTCCCCACTGCTTGGGTGATTTCTCGCCACTCTTTGGCGAGTTGAGGATCTCTTGGTAGAACGAGTATCCGTCGGGCACGGGGCACTGTGTCACACTAGCAGCACCATCGTAATAGTTTACGTTCGTGAAGAAGAGTCCGTGTCCATGTAGTGTGGACGGGCGTCCATCACCAAACTTGTTGGTAAAGTTGATGTGGACAAAGTCGTCTGAGTTGACAATGAGGGGATCGGCGGGGAACTTGCCATTGATGCCAATCGCTCGGCGAGGGAACTTTCCATCTGGGTTGACATTATCGACCCAGCCAACACTCCACTGCTTGCCGATTTCGGCGCCAAAAGCCGTCGTGGCTAACAACAGCACGAGTGCAGACGCCGCCCACATGATGGGGTTGTTCTAGTTTGGTGGCAAGTATCGATAAGCCTCCCACTGTTCCACGTATTTTACTCTCCGCACGCCATAAAACGCGTACCCTGTCTCCCCATTTGTTTGCGCTGGGCACAGTTCCTCCACTGTTGCCACCATGTCCGCGGAGAGTGGTCTTGGGTCGACATATCGGAAGGATAGTAATCGACATAAAGAAACTAGTTAGATCGCTGCGTCAGATCCTAAGCTGACCTTTAATTAGGCTATCTCGTCGATGCGTGCATTCTCCATAGACATGCATGAGAAAGCTCGGGCGCCTGATTTTAAATCGGTCTGACTGATCCCCACTGATGTTTGCGTAGCTATGTACCAGTATAGGATTCAAAAAAACTATAGGTGGATGCTTTGTTTGACCGACTTGATTTCAGCATGTTTGCTCGAGTGACCTTCGCCTAGCCAAACCAAATGTGTTTGCATGGACACAGGCGAGCGGATTTCACAAGGTACGTAAGATTCACTAAATGAAACGCTTCACACATTGTTTGTTTTGCTAGCACATAACTTCCTTGCAGAATGATATCAGATAATTTCTTGAATGACTTGTCGGATCCATCCTAGTCAATGTTATGAAATTGCTTCTTCAACGTGGTCCACAGATCTTACTTTGAGCACATCGTTTCCAGCGCGATAAATGGGGCTTTAGTGCAAAAAAAACACCCGTGACTTTGTGACGTTTGTACAGACAAACGTTTCTGTTGTTTTACGCAACTCATCTATTTGGCATGCGAGGAATGTTCAAACAAGGTTTTTTCGTTGACTACTCATGCACACTTTTCTGCCCATGTATTCTATGACCGAGCATCGCTCGAGACCATTTCTAAATAATATTCCACATCAGAGCCTTTTCGCGTAAGAAGATAGACAAGGCGCTGTTTTGCGTAGAAACTTTTCAGACAATCGATATCTCCAACTTCTGTATATCCGCAGAACACTATGAGCATCAATAATGAATCTATTGCCTGTGGCTCTCACTTAAAGGACAGACTTTTCAAATCTGTGCAACTCGCCAATGATTTCCAAGGGATCTTCTGCTCACTTGTGAAGCGCATCTTTCAAGTACTCGTCATTTGGTCCAATCTTGTCTCCCAAGAGGCCCTTAAGAAGACCCAAAGCAGACTCGAAATCTTCGCCAAGAGCATGAGAGTTGACGCCAACGTCGTAGTTCTTGATTTCTCGGCAGCCACCCTGCACAGGCTTGCCTTGGAGCCGGTCACGGTTCCAAAGGAAGCCAGGGACTGTGCTTGTAACCGTCGTAACACCATGAGCAGATACAGGGTTCGCGAAACTTACGAACTCAACATCTGCACCATTCTTACACCAAGATTTATACGTCTCGTGAGCTGCCTCATAGGGGGCAACTTCGTCTGAGACTCCGTGCGCCATCAAAACAGGTGTGTCGGGGGTGAAATCAGGGTTTGTGCCCATAGTGAGCTCATTGAGGGCCTTTTGAACAACGGGCTCGTATAGGAAGCGCTTGCCGACCGTACTAAAACTCTTGTCGTAGAAGTTCTTGAAGAGAAAATGCAACGTGATCTCCTCTTGGCAATGCTTTCTGGGGAACTCTAAGTCTTTTTGAGCCTGCTTCGTAAAGACTTTATCAGTGTAAGCCTTGACATCTGGGTATGTTGAAATGACACCACCTAAACCACCAGCGACATAACCAGCGAATGGTCCACCGTTAATTTTTTCCACTAATGCTGTGACATTGGAAGGCGTTCCACCCGTGAACCATCCGACAGAGTTGATTTCTGGCGCGTACGACTTTTTCAGCGCTGCCGTCCATCCACATTGAATACCACCACCAGAGTATCCATGGCCAACAACCCTAGCATTCTTGTTAAGACCAATTTTATCAAAGGCTAGCGTCGCACGAATACCGTCCAATGATTGACGGCCCTCGACATGACCTGAACCAAATGCACCCTTGTTGCCTTCCTTGTCGGGCATCGTCACAATGTAGCCTTCTTGCAGATACAACATAGCAATTCCCACGTTGAAAATTGAACTAGTGTCCGACAGCAAACCAGCACGCCAAGTATAGCTTGGAGCGCACTGCGGCGCTCCAGCATCCTCAAAGTCAGCATACAATACTAAAGAATCGTTCTGAGCATTGTGAGGAACCATAATTGTCGTAACAGTTGTCGTTGGCTCATCGTCTGACCTGTACGTCGTGCGGTACAGCAACTGCCAAGCCTCTTTCAAGTTGTCCTTCACGAGCGTGTTGATATTCACTTTACGAGAGCGCAAGATAGTCCCCACCTTCTTCGACTCCCAGCCATCTGGAGGTTGATAGAAGGGGTCATTTTGTGGCTTTGGCAAGTTCTCGCGCGCAACCAGGGCGAGCGCTTGGGCTGCAAATGAGATAAGAGTAAAGGCGACTATACCCAACTTCATAGCGTTGTATAACCCAAGACATTTCGATTGCGCTTATATTTATGTGTTTCGTTCTTCGTTTCAGAAGCTTGTTTGGGGTGTGAAAGATGACGCAACTGTAGTCTTGTTCAATCGAGAGCAATGATTCGCTCAAAATGACATGTGCAGTGCTTTGTGTCGGGTTGGGTTGAGAATTGCAACTGATTGCGTGGAATTCTCAGCAAAAAATCACATGGGTTCATCTGACCCCAAAACTGTCGAACTCGCTGTGAGAATTGTCAGTTACCTCGCTTATTCTAGTCTTGATCTCTTACTAAACCACGCCGATGACCCTGACAATCACCCCGACAATGAATCCAACTGAAACCGGTCGCTTTACCGACAAAGTTGATTAGTACCGGATATAATAGCAAGAACTTTGAATTCAATACTACGCGTATCCTTGTCAAAGTTAAAGCATTTTCCAGGCTGCTGGTGAAATATGGATTAGCAATGATCAGTTTCAGCTCTTGAACTACACGAAGCGTAGCACAAAGTTCGAGTACTTCTTGGATTTGAGTGAGAGTGAAGACTACTCCGAGTTTTTGACCAGATACATAGTTTGAGTAAGAAGGTTGATGTATTGACGAGATGAGGCGCATGGCTCTCCAGGGAGAGATATTGCTCCTCGGAGAAGAAGTACACTATCAGGGTGGAGCCGAGCGAAATCCACGCATAGGAAACGTCTTGCCACCAGCGGTTCATTGCCACGCCGCTGGACTATCCCAACAACGTACTCAAGTTGGGCAAGAGGGTACGAGGGCGACGAGGAGATATGGGTTATATACCACGAGATGAACCATCTGTTGTTTTATCAGAACCCAAAGCACCAGCTGGCGGTGTCCAATCCGTACATAAGTGGCAACGAAGACAAGTAGTTCAAGGATTGACCGATTCGTTCACCGATCCGGTTTCATTAACTTAAGAGGCAATAAAGAAGTTCCATGTACACTTCTTCTTCGGTCCGCATACAGACAAATCCAATCCCATCACGATGCACTTCTACTATACGTGATTGGCGACTCTCGTTATGAATCAACTATATCTATTTAATGAACAGGATGTCAAAAGTTACATATTTATCAACGGCTCTCAGTAGAGAGTGCGTACGAGATGTTCGCGCTTCCAAAAGCGAGTACCAGCATCCTTGATGAATTCAGAGCCCAAGTCCGTAGAAATGCCTTTCTGATTTGTGTCCACGCCCCCCTTCTTAAGCAGACGCTCAGATTCTTTCGTGTAAGCAATAGCCTTCAAGTGTGCGTATGCATCCTGCACCCATTGAACAGCAGCCGATTCCTTAAGTAGCTGATCCGTACCCTTGTTGGACAGAACCACTGCCACTGCGTCAAACAAGACAGAGGGCATGCCGGCCAGAATCCCATCTGCGTCGACCTTCGACCCATCCGACAGTTTTATGCCATGCGCTCGAGGTGCAATCACAGCTGGGACGCCATTATGCTCCTTGATCATCTTCTTCAGACGCTCGATCTTGCCCTTATCGCTTCCTTCGTTGATAAGAATACCAATTTTTCGTCCTTCAATCGTATGCTTAGTATTACGGTGTATAGAGAGTGCTGGACTGGCAGGTAGATCAACAGGCTCGCGAACCGGTTTCGATTTCTTGGGGAGTTCGATGCCTAAACCCTTTGCTACGCGACGAGCAAGTGACTCGTCCACGTTGCGCAAGTTTGCGACTGCGCGTTTCGGCACCTGTGAAAGAGATACTTGTGAGAGTTCGAATACGAAACCGCCAACCGTGTGGTTCTGCTCAGACTCCGTCAGCGACTTCCAGTATTGGCGTGCCTGACTGTAGTGATCGGCAAATCGCTCGTCACGCGCGCGGAGCTTAGGACCGCGCTCCCGAGGTCCTGTAACATGACTTGACGTGTGGAAGGCAGCCATGAAGGGACATGCGCGAGGACCTGTGGGTTCGTCGGCTTCGTACAGGCTATTCGGTTCGTAGTTTGCACGACCCTTAGGAATGCTCATTTGCATCATGCCATCACGCTGGAAGTTGCGCACAGGCACCTTCGGATGGTTAATTGGAAGCTGATGGAAATTCGAGGTGCCCAAGCGCGACTTTTGGGTGTCCAGGTAAGAGAATAGGCGTCCTTGCAGCAAGGGATCGTCTGAGAAGTCAATACCGGGAACGACGTGCGAAGGACAGAACGCGACCTGCTCTGTCTCGGCAAAGAAGTTGTCAGGGTTGCGATTCAGCACCATACGGCCGATGAACTTGACCGGAACATCTTCCTCAGGAATCAGTTTGGTCGAGTCCAGCACGTCGTAAGGCTGAGAGTCGGCAAATTCCTTGTCGAATACCTGGATACCGAGCTGCCACTCGGGATACATGCCTGATTCGATAGACTCGAAAAGATCTTTGCGGTGATAGTCGTTGTCTGCACCCTGAATCTTGGTCGTTTCATCCCACAAGGTTGATTGAACGCCAAGCTTCGGCTTCCAGTGGAATTTAACAAAGTGCGCATCTCCGCTTTCGTTCACTAGCTGGAAGGTGTGAATACCAAAGCCCTCCATCATGCGAAGTGAGCGTGGAAGACCGCGCTCGGACATAGCCCAGAGCTGCATGTGCGTGGACTCAGGCATAAGCGTGGCCCAATCCCAGAAGGTATCGTGCGCCGTTGCAGCCTGCGGATAGCCGCGATCGGCTTCCATTTTCACCGAATGAATTAGGTCTGGGAACTTGATCGCATCCTGAATAAAGAAAACAGGCATGTTATTACCAACCAGATCCCAGTTGCCTTCATTCGTGTAGAACTTGACCGCAAAGCCTCGCACGTCGCGCGGAGTGTCGACCGAGCCTGAGCCTCCTGCGACATTAGAGAAACGCGCGAAAACAGGCGTCTTCATCCCTTTCTTAAATACATGCGCTCTGCTCAGGTGCGAGATATCCTCCGTAGCCTCAAAGTACCCGTGTGCACCAGAGCCACGAGCATGGACGATGCGCTCTGGGATACGCTCGTGGTCAAAGTTGAAAATTTTCTCCCGCAGAACGAAGTCCTCAAGTAAGGTGGGACCGCGCGTACCGGCTTTCAGACTATTTTGGTTATCGGAAATCAATACACCTTGGTCAGTGGTGAGATTTCCCTCGCCTCCATGCTGCTGAGGGTCGCCTCCGTGCCTGAAGTGTATCGTCACGTTGTCATTGTGTGCTGATGAAGCTAGAACCACAAAAGATAGAGCTAAAAGCAGAACCTGCTTCCAAGCCATCATGGTACGGACAAGTAAAGCCAATCTACTTACTATGAAGCACCGGTCGAACGGCTTTGCCTTTGGTGATCACGCAAAACATTAATCCGTGAGTCACAACTTATCACATTGACATGTTGCCACAGGTCCGTTGGGAAACTGAGCGTGTGCCCTCGTGCAGCTGCATGCAGAAATGGGTGGGGTAGGCATTCTCTGTAAACCAATCACACTGTCAACATTTTAATCTGTCCGTATGCTACCTCCGCGGACCTATCTAGGTCTGTTATCAGGTCAGAAGCTAATCCGACGCACATTAGCTTACCTACGAAGGATAAGTAAATATTACTAAAGTTAAATCACAGGCTTGGCTCGAACGTCGAGGTCAAGATTTTAATATTCAACAATGTGCCTAAAGCTTCATTGGCCAAATGAGCTTCTTGTCCCATGTCTTGAATTGGCAGATGGTGCTCCGCTCTGTGTTTCCGTAGGGACGTGACTGCCCGAGATTCTTGTTGTCACTTTGAAAAGTCCTCTAGCGTGCTTTGCAGTTGGTAGTGTGTAAAAATTATGCCTCACACCCGAATAATCCTACTTTCCATCATGATACACACGGCTGTTGTCCTACCTCGCCGGACAAGGTCAGTGGCTTAATGGTCTGAGGGAGTATACGTGGAAGCTCCCTACTGTTTATGAGTCATTGATAATGTATCCTAATATTTTTTTCAAAATACAAACTTTGTATCATCAAGCAAATGCAATTAAATCACCATGTCATACTGGCACCAGGTACGTAAGTTGATTTTGGACCATACATACACAAATCGCCTTGGAGTCCGCTGCGGCATTTTTGTTGGATACACGACTTATTTCATTTTCAAATTGCTACAAAGATGAAGATTAGCTGCCGTGCTCATCCTGGCTCTTGTGTTCCTACACTCTGCACTATGGCCTTTACCATGACCCGAGTTATCTCTGACCGACTTTTATGGCAATTGTTCCTACGAAGCATGAATCGAATGTGGACGCACTGAATGAGTTGTTTGTTAAACTCGACTTGCTTAGGAGGATGAACACGTCTCGATTACTGCAGGGCAGTGGAACAAAGCTTTCTTAGCGCACGAGTTCAGCAGGCATGCTACTATCTACAACACTTCCAACATGTGCTGGTACGGAAATAATCACTCAAAGCGCTGGAAGGTGGCTGAGCTCTTTGAGACTATTTTCATGCTTCGAAAGTGGCTTACCCTCTCAAGACCGGCTGCAAGATGCCGACCTTCTACCTAGGTGAATAAATGGCGTTGTGACCAGCTCAGCAATTTAGTAAGTCCCATCCACTTTCATTCCTCGATCCTGAGCGTTCCGGAAATTCCCAAGGTGGATGCACAAATGGAAGATGCTTGATACACTGGCAGGACAATGCACCGAGGAACGATGTTTATAAGATTGCGACATGTAGCAGAACGCCAAGTACGGGACAGACTCCCAAAAAACTTCCATCGAAAAAGGAGGATGGCGTCATCTTTGCCATTTTCGACACTAGGAATGATCACTGTAACTTGATTCAGTATGCCAAGTCAAACATGGCAGTGTCGCTTAGCTAGCAGGATGTCATGCTTGCAACTGAGCCTACAGATATCAAGGCTATCGGTGTAACTCATTAAGCATGAGTCGCCTAATCGCTGGATATGAATATATAGGTATGTGTATAATATAGTGACCTAGTTGTTCTGCCTCAACGCGATTAAGGTTTCCAAAATAAACCAGTGCAAATAGTTTACGCTGACTTGTGCTCCTATAACTCTGAGACCACAAATCCGAACTTTAAACGTCACATTAACACATGTGCTCACACGTTGTACATTACCACTCCAGTCCGCCTCTCCTCACTCTAACACTAACACTAATCATAATCCATAAATTATCCTGACACTATTAGTTTAGCTGCCAATCCTTAACTACAATGCGCAGTTGCTCCTTAGGCAGAACGAGGCCAGTCCGGGCATTTGAGGTCTCCTTCAACGCCTTCTTCCTTATCTTCCATCGTCTTCAAAATCGCATAGCCCTCGCTGTCCGTGTTCCATACGTTTGACACAGAGCAGAACCACGCATGCTTGTCCTTCGCATCGTGTTGTAACCCAGGGCAAATCAAATTTCCAACAGCATCTCCGACATGACCCTTGTGTCCAATACCCGCATTACATCCTTTCTTATTTTTCCGCGTCATTGCGAACCACTGGAATCGCAACTTGTCATCCACCTTTGTCGAGCACTTCTCAAGCTTCACCGTCGAGTTCTTGCCCTTAGGGTGCATCTCATAGTATGGACCTCCGTACGGCCCATCATGGGGATATTCCTTCACCCACGAATTCGTTGTCAGGCACTCAGTATCGTTCGATACGCTCCGCAGCTGCCCAAACCACAAGTCTTTTGTCGTGCTGTTAAACTTGTCCGATGTTACATTACACGCATAAAACCGGAACTTCTCAAGTGGATTCACGAATCCATCGTACGGAGTCTGTTCTAGTACATCTTTCTGAAGATCGTAGTATTTCAGTCGGTGGTATGACGCCGGCTGCTTCGCTGAAATGACTCCCATTTTACCAATCGCATGGCATTCCAGCTTGTCACTTTCATTCTTCCCCGCTCCATACACACTTCCCAGCACGCATGCTGCAATCAATGTTGTCGCAGTTGCAAACTTCATATCCGTCAAATAACACTGATGTTTCAAAGTACCACGCACACGCACTATTTATACATTCTGCTGTGGCGGGTCCAAGCTGCCAAGACAATCATTAGCGCCGGAGTTGCGGATGGAGAGTCTCGCACATGCCACTTCACCTTCTAAAATCGCCCCACTATTGGCTAATTTTCTCAAGCCATTTTAGTTTACTGCTTACGGCAGTGGGTTGCATAAACAATCGTGTTCCAGGCAAATCATATTCGCTTATGTTCATCGACTCCGCCCGTAAAGTTAGCGCAGCACAGTTCCTCGCTTACGTCCTGACACGTTATTCTCTCCATAGTTCATAACACAATGGACAGCTCTGCAGACCATGTACGAACAATTGTTGACTAATGATAAGAATGGTCGGTCTCCCCCTTATGAACCATTCAGAGGTCAATGCGACTTCACGTAATATAACGATTGGCTGAATTTGTGCCGTCTTACGACTTTTTGTCCATCTTTCGATATGCTCTTTCGCACGTTATACCAAGCATTCATTGTGTTTACTGTAGTTTCAGGTGTTATGCTCTCCCATCTCAGCTTTCATCCGCAAGAGTTTTTTTTTTGTCTCCTCGTTCCATACCGCCAGCGTACTAAACCATGCACGTTCGGCAAAAAAAGCCTGTTTACTGAAACTAGATTTTCAGTGCATTCCAAAAAATATCGCAACACGTTCAGTAGTTTCTCAACTGATGCTGTAACATGATACACGACCTGTCAAATTAATATAGGGAAAGTTTGTTTAAATGCTACGGAACGGCAGCATCGAGACTGATCTATCATGAGGTGTGAAGAATGATGGACTTGAATCTAAACACGTTTGTTCTCTTGCTTATGATAAATATACATCCAATATAGTAGTCCATTTGAAAGAATGTGATACTAGAAAAAGCATCGAAGCAGTTCGGTATATCGGTGTACTCGCATTTTAAACATATCCGCATGTTCGAACACTGACATTATCGTCAACCAAGATTGAAGATTCTTTCAGCATTGCTCGCTCTCTCAACAACTCTCATAATGCTCGCTATCTCTTCCGCCCATTTTGCACACATATTATTATTCGGCTTTGTCTATATCACAATTTGGCGACTTTTCCAACGGTCTACACTTCCCGAACTAACATCTTGAACCGGCCAAAATTTCTCATGTGTTAAAATACCTTGCCATTTAAGCACACATCTTGGCCCTTCCATGCTCTGCATATTTTCATAATGCCATGCACTGTGTTTTCTCATCTGTGCTGCTTATTTCATTCTCCCGTAGTTCTCGTTGGGATCTTTGTTTCCCTTTTTGTTTGCACTCTTACAAACTTCTAATTATCACGTCTTTCATTTCTAATCCCATTTTTTTTGCACCATGTGCCTCGGTCGTCGTCTTTCCTTGCGGCATTCTCCCATATGAATTTTTGCCTTCAAAGTCTTGCTTCGCTTAACCTGTTCCTACCATGGATTAGCGTAAAACCCCTTAACAAGCACATCTAAAGTTAGAAGGGGTCACTTCCGTGTCATTTTCAACCATACTTCTTGTCGCGTCGCGTTGAGCAACAACATGGTCGCCATTTCTTTTCATTCCGCCATGTCTTAGAGCCATCAAATATTTTCTTCATGCAATTTTTCATTCCTCCCGCCCCCTCCTCTCCGGTTTCTTCGCTATTCCCGCACCAGTAGTGCCTGGAATAGGTTTTCAAAGCTCCAGGGGATGCATTTTTCTAGGAGCCAGATTTCATTCGTTCACTTTTCACGCTGGTCCAACTTCCGCATTCGTACTTCGCTCCAACACACTTTAAGTGCTAATCTTTTGTGTATATTATGTATATCGATCACCATATCACCGTTTTGAAATCACCTTTAAACGCCGGATTCGGAGTCGCGTTGTTGTAAAGGCGCATTCTTTCTTGCTCAGATTGTCAACACCTCCAAAGTTTTCGAGTGATGTTTTAGAAATAACTTTGATCCTAAGTCACTCAGAAGTCTGCTCTCACCCATCACTTTATGCATACTCGCAGGGGGGCGAGTTTTCGACGAGAAAGCAATACGCATCGTCTAGGAGAGCTTGAATAGTATCCATCAATGATCCAGAATGTGTATTATTGGTTTAATTAAACCCGTTGTAAATAAAATCTACTTCGCTGTTCAATAGTTTATGTTAATCTGATAGCAATGTAAGGCACTCAAACATTTGTGACATTCTTAAGGATGTCTGACACTTAGCAGCATCTTCAAGTGATCGCGCCTAATTCTAAACATTATTTAGAACAATAAAACCATGATACAATGCGTCAATGCATCTTCTCAAATTTATGACTTCTTTCGACCAGTTGTTTTATTTCATGGCGTGATGAACACTTTATGCCTCTACCTAACCGGCCTCGGATGGGTTTTTAATCAACACGGACTAGTAACTTGTTTTACCCTCCACCATAATTGTTACATGATCTAGTTCCGAATATTTTATCTGGCCGTCAGTTTTAGCTCACTAAGCTCAATTGCCAATCTCTGGTATGTTAATTTTAGGACTCCTCAAAAATCATTTCGTGCCTATTTCTCGCATTCTCTAAATTTGATTTATATTAACTTTGAGTTCCTATCAAACCTGGAGCTGTCTTGCCGTCTCTACCTGTATTGTTCTGGACCCCAATTAATTGATGTCCTCATACCCTGTTGAACTCATGCCAGCTTCTCTGTCAGTATTTTCTTTTGTATTCTAGTAACACTCTCGGCACCATGAACCCTACCATCTCGCTTCGTCCGACCAATCGCCTTATTAACCAACATTAGAATAATGCCATGCAAAATTGACCGGGACTTCATCTAGTCATCTCTAGAGGCTACTTGATTTTTAACTGCCTGATTGGTGAGCCAACGTTTAACGAATGAAAATGCCGCTATATGCACTGTATATACAGTCTTGGGTTCCGATTAGTCTGCGAGCTGAATGATAGATGCGTTGAAAACCGCAACAAGATCATGGAGGCCCTATCGACTGAATCAGACTAAACTCGCAAACTTAGGTGCTGCGGCTGTAGCTTGAAATTAATCGAACTTCGAAGGCTGCTCTCGTTATTCAAGCAACAATATTTTCTACCACCACCAAATCGACTAGGATAAGATTTACCGCTAGCTACACTCTATAATTGAAGCTTTTGCTCAAGTCTCTGACAGCCATTATTATTTGAATGATAACATTCGAAGACTAGATTACTTTATAACGTGCATCCGTCTTTAATTAATTTAAAGACCACATCTGCCACAAATAGTTCGTCCGTAGCATTAAAAATTAATCTGCTACTGGCTAAGTTCGTACCTATATAGCCAGTTATATCCATTTATTACTTGAAACTGATTTTTTGAACCAACAGTCGAGTAATGCTGTCACTTTCACTGTAGTTTTGGCCTTGATGAGGTCGCACAACTTTTGCTGGTGAAGATTACGTTCATTTCTCCTCGCTCTGATCTTTAGGTCTCTGTCGTATGGATCGTTTCCCTGTTATGCAGCGACTGTGGAGTTCGGCTACCTAAATCATCCTTGCATTTTGCCTTTTGCCTTCTAAAGAATGCGCTATCCCTAATTCTGTACCCCAAACGACGCGCACTTTGCACTTGATCTTCCAATCTATAATTACTGCTTCTTGAATCGAACCTTTAGTAGCCATTCCCTCAAAGCATATCATTAACAAAGCTTCTACGTAGTGGTGATTTTATACAGTGGCACATACAATCATGGGCCTCATGCAAGCTCACTTATTCTTCAAAACATCTTACACTGCTCTTTCAAATAAGGCGGCACGTTCAAAACCTTGTGGGCTTCCTCAGGAGCCTGCAGCATGACCATTGCTAGCCCCGCAGACAGGTGCCAATCCATATGACAATGCATGATCCACGCCCCTGGGTTGTTTGCTCGGAATCGGATCGTCACACTTCCCCATGCATCAACCGCGACTGTGTCCCGTCGAATTGGATTCTTCTGCTCTTTCACGTCAGGAACTTTCGGTGTTTGGCCTTTAGTTCCATTGGCCCGGTGAACTACTTGGAATCGAGTCCCATGCATATGGAAAGGATGCACATCATGCGAGTCGTTAAGAATCGTCACCTCAACCATATGATTGTAAGGCGCAATGACAGCGTTTGCCTTATCGCCGTATACGCTCACATCTGACCCATTCTTGCTCATCATGGTCAGCATTGCCGGCCTACGCGGAGGCACAAAAGCCGTCTCATTAAAGGCTGCAAAAGGCATCCTGTTCTTGGACCCAACTGTCGCCACCAATGTCACCCGTGTGTCTGGCTCTACTGTCTCGATCACCTCTTTCGGCACAAATAATGTGTCATCCATGGGCCGTATTCCCTTCTTGCTTGCCTGGTCTTCGTTGCCCATTTTTACTCCTTTTCCTCCATATGACACAGTGCTCGTTAAGTTCAGTTTCAAATCACCCACTTTCGAGAACGTCCCGCGTTCCATGTTCGCATGGATCATCCAATTTTTATCTGTTTCATTTCTTGCCTTGACCAACACACTGTATCGTTGTCCTATTGCCACTTGAACCGAGTCAATAGGGTATCGCTCCACGTCCACGCCATCCACCTCAATAATGTCCATGTCGTGCCCATCGATCCAAAAGTCAAAGACAGACGCTGCCGACATGTTGATCAATCGCAGTCGGTACGTTTTGCCTGGCTCAAACGGTAATGTCGCATTCTCATTCATCCCCGGCATCGTCCTCGCTTCTTCTCCCTTCTTTGTGTGTGCAAAGTACATCAGTCCAGAATCCGGCGTCGGATATCCCCCTCCCTTTACAAAGTAGTCATGATGCAGAATATAGCCATGCACATGATGATACCAGTCGGCAAGAACCACTGTGTAATCATCATCGTATTCATACACCTCTCCTTCAGAACGGTGAATAATGAATGGTGTCCGAAGGCCATCAATATACTGACCCTTGTAATGCCCATGCAGCCAATATGTTCCCCACTGCTTGGGTGCATTCTCACCACTCTTTGGCGAGTTCAGGATTTCGTGGTAGAACGAGTATCCGTCGGGCACGGGGCATTGTGTCACACTGGCAGCACCATCGTAGTAGTTGACGTTCGTGAAGAAGAGTCCGTGTCCATGCAGTGCGGACGGCCGTCCATCACCAAACTTGTTGGTAAAGTTGATGTGCACAAAGTCGTCCGAGTTGACACTGAGAGGATCGGCAGGGAACTTGCCATTGATGCCGATGGCTCGGCGGGGAAACTTTCCATCTGGGTTGACATCATTGACCCAGCCAACGCTCCATTGCTTGCCGATTTCGGCGCCAAAAGCCGTCGTAGCTAACAACGCCACCAGTCCAGACGCTGCTCTCATGTCTTAGTTGAGTCTGTCTTAACAACAAACACCATATGACACTTATCCTTCAACATGCCATTTTGGACTTCATTCAAGTTTGAAAACGTGAACTCAGTGTTTCCATTTTTACTTACACTCAAACAGAATGATTGGCCTCCATTTCCCCTTAGATTCTACCTTTCGCATTGTTTGGCTCAAGGTCATGGAGGTCCGTTGCTGGATGTCCCAATTACTTTTCGTCTAGGTTGTGGTTAATGAAGTCTGCTCACGTGCGATTGCTAAAATAACTACGATGACATGAACTCGCCAACTTGGCCCTGCGCTGTTTAACGAGTCCGCGCAGTCCACGTAATATCCATAGTCATGAAGAGAGTTGAAATTTGTAAGTGCTCGCCAACCTGATCCTAATTTCCTTTTTGTGCTATATAGTCGAAGGAGCCTGGGACTTGAGGACTTTCTGGCACGTCATATCCCTTTGGGTTGCTTCATTGTACATATCTTTATGTCAAGCCTGGATGTCCTGATAATGTTACATAATTAAACTAGTTTTCATGGTCCTGCCAACGCAGACGCAACTACATTAATGATAAAATGTGTCTGGGTTTGTCCTCGCCACTTGTACATTTTGCTTGGGGACCTTCGTGGACCTCTTTCTCAATAAATTGAATTTTCTAATGGTCACTCTTAGGGTTGAGATTATTATATCGTTTAAATTGTCCGTGTTTGACGTTTAATAAGGCTTATATATCCATGTATTTGAGTGATTTTTGTAAAGCTATGAGAGACGGTACCGTGCCACTACCAAGCATAATAACTGACGTGTGTCCTTCACAATAATGTGAGATCTTGTCCTTAAACCTCACTGTGTTGTAGCGGTGCATTTGTTTTTTCTTTCGAAAAGTAATCTCAGATTACAATTAAGTACTTTTACTGTCGCTCCATTTTGAAATTATAGAAGTTTCATGTTCGATTCTCACACGTTGCATCAATTCAACGGTCGATGCGGGGATGTAACAAACACAAGTGGACAAAGGTGTCTCCCATAATTCTTGGTCACATACGAAAATGACGTACTAAGCTGTGTCTCAAAATGAAAACTCGAATCACCCCTTAATTTGATTCTACCAGAATCCAAAACGAGGCGCTATAGGATTGGCTCGTCGATGCTAGGCGGTACAACATGCTTGAGCAACTAGTTCCAAATCTGCCTGAGGAGGGCATGTGTTCTATCTATCAAGGATTTAGTGCGTGAAAGCCATTGTTACCAGTCATCTCTACAGTTTACTGGGTGGAATGTGATGTTCCGGGTGGTCCTAGGCCTTGTCTGACCAAGACCAACTCGCGGCCTTCAAAATCTGCATGAGCAACTTCTCATGAGTATTTCCAAGGACTTATCCGCGGAGTTTTGCGAGACTGAGAGCAAATTACGCCATGGACGTGACGTGAGGGCTTAGGCCGCGTTATTAAACGTTAATGAAACGTGCGTCATTCAAAGATGCTGCTTTCACAAGTCCGTGCACCAAGTACCAACATCCACCATGGAATACGTCAATCTTGGGCGATTTTGTTTGAAAGTTTCTAGTATCATCTTGGGATGTATGTCTTATGGTGAAAAGGACTGGGCTCAATGAGTGCTTGAAGAGCCCGAGGCGTTGGAGATACTGCACCATGCGTACCAGAGAGGAATTAATACCTGGGACACGGCCGATGTGTACAGCTACGGCAGGTCAGAGGAAATCGTAGGCAAGGCGCTGAAAAAAGTACAACATTCCTCGCAAGCGTGTAGTCATCTTGTCCAAGTGCTTCTTCGGACTCGAAAAAGGCTCTGCCGAATCGGCGATGGGCCTCAAGAATGACGGCGAGTTTGTGAACCGGATGGGTCTCTCTCGTAAACACATTCTTGACGCAGTAGAGGCAAGTGTGAAGCGCCTCGGAACGTACTTGGATGTTCTTTGGATTCATCGACTCGATCGAGAAACGCCAAAAGAAGAGATTATGCGGGCACTGAACGACGGAATCGAGTGGGGCTGGGTGCGGTACATCGGCGCAAGCTCGATGGCTGCGTGGGAATTCCAGCAGCTTCGAAACATTGCGGAGAGGCACGGATGGCACAAGTTTGTGGCAATGGAAAACTTGTACAACCTGCTGTACAGGGAAGAGGAACGCGAGATGATTCCGTACTGCCAGAACACTGGGGTTGGCCTGACCCCTTGGTACGCATTGGCGTCTGGGACGCTCGCGCGACCATGGAATGGGGATAGTACAGAGCGGTCCAGAAATGACACGATTCGTGGCGTGTTACTTGGCAAGGGAGAAGAAGCTGACAAGGTCATTGTCGACCGCGTGGAAGAAATTGCCAAAAAAAGAAAGGCATTCTCATGGCACAAGTCAATTGCTTGGCTGCTAAGCAAAAACTGTGACACCTATTCTTGGTTTAGGTAAGACAAGTCGCGTAGACGAGGTGGTTGAGGCAGTTAGGGTCAAGTTGACGAACGAAGAAATTGCGTATCTGGAAGAACCGTACCAACCGAAACGTGTAACAGGGTACTAATGAAATGAAATTGTTTCTGTCTTGTCCGTAGTATTGTAGGTTTGTAACATTTTTGAACTGTTACTATCAACAAGCTTTGGGGTGACAACCTGCACAAACGAGGCCTGATCTACCGTATCAATTATGTTTGAATCCAAGGCTCATGAAGCTGAGACTTCGAAGTGATAGTTTTATCTATGTGTGAAGCAAAAAAAAACTTCATATTATAAGCATAGTTACCAGGCGCAAAAAAACCTACGAAAAGTCTTGCTGTACGCCAATTTTTCATGTACTTGTTCAAGTGTGGATGTTATTATAAGGCTTCCAATTTTATCAGCGCACGAATGCTTTGAGTCGATCATAGGTGCATCTATCTTTGACATTCCTTGGTGATCAAAGTTTGAATGGCACTGATCTTCCAAAGTCTTGTCAAACGTTGTGTAACTGACGCACGGAATGTTGAGGTCAGATAGAGCACATTTAGCCAGCTCTCCATAGTATGAACGCAAAATTTAAGTTGCTTCATGACATTTTCGCCTGATGGGCGCACTGACGTCAAGAACTTGCTCCAAAATTGAATACGATCATGAGGTATGTGAAGAGGCTACATCTCGTAGACTCTGAACTCTTTTTTTGCCTGGCATTTTATAAGGATTGTACAATCCGTTGCGGCGTGACTGTTGTTCTCGTCTACGCTTCGATGAATTAATGTCAACTTGAGGGAGGGATTTCCCTTTACTAACTACATCAGATCAGGTTCTATATGAAAAAACAATGCATTTTGCTACCAAGCTGACGGGGTTGGTTTCTCAAAGCTCGTTAGATTCTTATTTGGGCTGTTTGTCACCATCATTAGGAAGAATAAGAAAAAACTAAAACTGTCGTCTGTTTCAGTGCAAATCTCTCTATAAGTTACAGTTCTTGCATATCTAAAACCCTGAGTAGCAAGATTATGCTCTGATTTATTCTGCTGTATGTGATGAAACCTAAGCGGTCTTCCTAGCTTTGCCGCACGCTGTCCGCATAACAGGTGCCAAAAAGCTTTGTGCGGTTCTACCAGGATAAAGGCGAATTTTATCTTCTCAACATAATAGTGCGATGAGTTCATTGCGCATTTCATCGTCTTCATCTGAATGAAATACCATTCTAGAGCTTAAGAGTTGTATAATTTTCGAAAGTCCTGCGAGAACTAATGATGAATTCATAAGAATGGTAATCAAGATGTGCGAACTCAAGTTTTCGTAAGAAACAGCCTGTAGCACTCGAGCGAAAATTATACAAAAAGTTCTCTATTGGATAAAAGAAATTTTCATGGTAGAGGTAGGCTCCATGCTAACCAAAATTGTGTTTTGTATGTCCAAGCGAATGATTGGGTGCCGTCTTGGAACATTAACCGTTTTCATTGTATTAATCGAGCGTCGTATTCAAGGTCTGGCCTAACATGAACGTAGAATTGAAAGAAACTTTAGATCATTTCATATTTTAAAACTAATCACGGCATCATCCATTCAATTGCTGTTAAACTCATGAGTAAATCTCAACAACTGATATACGTTTCCATCAATGGGACTCATTTCATTAATATCAATGGCGGGAAAACCATAGTACAGTCGGGCTTAAAGATTCGCGCCTTCCAATATGCATGAATATTTTTGAATTTCAGACGACTGACGTTCTGACCATTTGAAGATTTTTAACGAATAGGCTAGCTTACCAAATTGAAAGACGTATTTCAAGAGGATATAGTATAACCAAGCTGGCGAATTGTAAACGCGATTTATGCGCTACTGAAGTATGGCTTCGGAACGATGATGCTAAGTAATAGCGTGGCGTTGGGCAAGACCACAGTTGATCTGTGCGGCGAAATTGATCTGTTTGTTCACTCTTATTGATCGCGCAAGGGCCTAGGACAAACCCCACGTGGTTTTATCCAAAAAGTCCTCGCTGTTCCCTGCATTTTGGCGTTCATCTGCAGCAAGTGCGAATTATTGCACGAAATTGCACTATCGTCGGGACGTCATTTCGGAGAAATTGCCATGGACTAAAAGCTATAAATTGGGTCCCTGGAATTGAATCTCAGGGACCCTCCCATATCTGAATCATGCCCGCATCTGTACCCCGCCGTGCTTTGATCGCCGTCACCTCTGCTCACGCCCAGCTCTATCCTAATGGAGGTGAGACTGGTGTGTTCATCACAGAAGCCCTTCATCCATTCGAGGGATTCCGCAAGGCAGGGTTCGAGGTCGATCTTGTGTCTGAGACGGGAAAATACACACCTGATGCGCTTTCTATGACCAAACCATGGATTACCGACGAAGAGCTTAAGGTTTATGAAGATAAGAACTCCGAATTCCGTCAAAAGCTTGATAATCTCAAGAAGCCAAGCGATATTGACCCAACAAAGTATGGCTTGTTTTTCGCCTCCGCCGGTCATGCAGCTTTGATCGACTACCCTGACGATAAGGGTCTACAGGAAATTGCGTCCAAGATCTGGGAAGCCGGTGGTATTGTGTCCGCAGTGTGTCACGGAGGCGCCATCCTTCCCGGCGTCAAGGACCAATCGGGCAAGTCTATTATTAGCGGCCGCAAAATCACCGGCTTCACAGACAAGGGTGAAGAGGAACTTGGTGCGCTTGCTGAGATCAAGAACTGGAATCGTCCTACGATCCAAGAATCGGCAGCATCTGCAGGTGCCGAATATGTACATCCCCCAGGTCCCTGGGCCCCATATCAAGTCACTGATGGTCGACTTGTCACCGGCGTGAATCCACAAAGTGCCACGGTCACTACTGAGGCCGCTATCAAGGCTTTCGATGCTCTTTAGTCATGCACTTCATACATAATAACCTAGATATTCTAAGTGATTGTATTCTCCCGCTAGCGAGCCACTAAGAACTTAACGCAAAAGCTATATGGAGGCACTTATAACCTCAAGCGGAAGGCGGTCATACACACATACATTTTAACATAATTGAATAACGTAACGTTCCCATAACTAACGAACCTCTATCATTAATTTTGCTTAATGGTATCTTATCGTAGGTCATTCCCTGACCGCATCAACTTCATAAAAAATGTTGAGTTTACTTGCAACCATTTGGCACCTTGTCGGCAAGGTAGATGTGCTCATCCATGTTGTAGAACAGATTAGCCTCAAAGTGGGCGGTGTGGTCATTGTTCTGACCAATGTACGACTGTGTCACATCGTTCTTGAAGCCCATTTGCGACAGAAGAGGTGGGCATGTTGGCACGCCCTGTGAAACCGAGAACCACTGCCTGCGAGCAGTCTCCTCATCACTCGAGCACTTCTCAAGAGTAACGCGACCATCGTTGTGCGAGGTAATAGAGACGAGGCCATCTTCATTCTTGGTCACAGATGTGCCAGACGTCACGCACATATTCTTATCGTCCTTGCTGCGGAGTTGACCGTACGATGCACCGAGGGCGGCGCCAGCAAACTTGTCTGATGGCGCTTCGCAAGTATAGAACTCAAATTCCTGCGTTGCATCATCCGAGGCTCGAAGCACCTTAGGACCGCTCGAACCGGCCTTGAAGTTGAACTCGTACATATCCCTGTGCTTAGCACCACCGTTGTGGCCAATGATCTTGCCAGTCTTGCCGGAGGGCTTGCACTTTAGACCGTTCTTGCTAGATGGAGCAGCCTGAGAAAGAGCGAAGAAAGCAGCGGCGAAAACAATTGCAGAAACTTTCATTTTTGATAACCACAACCCTGGAGCAATCTCTTCATGTAGCCCATTCTTTGCTCCTTTTATAAAGCATTCTCAAAGATCAGATTTTTTTTGCATTCCTAGATTCTTAGCACCGTGTGAGAAGTTCCAGGAACCAAACTTAAAGTTACATTCGTCAAACGATTCATTCGCTATAGCAACTCCATGCATAGTTTTTTTTAGCAACCAGATCGATCTCGGAACTAGTTAAAGGAGCCCCTTTAGAAAATTTCAACAAATGCAAACATCACTGGATGTCGTAGTTCAGCACGTGTCGAATTCATGCAAAAAAAAAATCAAACTTAACCTCATGGACAATCTACTATTGGTCAAAAAGTTTTACTCTCGCATTGAATGAAAAGTTTGAACACCGTGTCGACAATTGATTCGATGCTGCGAGGCCAACAGGCAATGGAATGCGTTGAGTTTGAATTCATTCCAACACGATGTATAGCTGAATCGTACAGTGAGTCGTCCGGGTGAATAGGTCCCTTACACGTTGGATTCTCGTTCTAATGAATAGTAAATTCCGTGTGCACTTTAACTGCTCTGCACTTCGCGCAGCTCAAATGACTGGTAGAGATCGATAATGACTACCCGTCGAAATACTGTGGCGAGAGCAGGGGATCCAATGTCAGTTCATATTCCGATAGCAATTGTGTCTACTCGCATGAAGAGCACACTTGCTGTCTTTACTACTGCCATTTGGGTTTTGCGAGTAAAGCTGAGACGCATTTGGTTGTCAACGGCGACAGGCCACCAAGATCGAATTTCATTGCGGTAACGGCACTCCTCTCGATACTAGATTCTACTCTATAGATCGCTGTCATCAAAGATTCAAGGATAGAGGTCCTAGATTATGACGTACGGCTGCGATATCGATACATCGCCTGCATTGTAACAACTTTTACCGGTCGTTTTGATGTGTTACGATGTGCAAGTCTATAATCACTCGTTCTTCGTAGCCAGACTCCGGCATTTGTATATAGTCCTTTCTGACGAGTTTTTACTACCAGTGTTCATAAATTACTGCACAACCCGAGTGTGTATTGGCCAAAGCATTCGCTGAATGCATTCGATCTTGATGCGCATTCGGTAAAGGTCATAGCAAATTGAATCACCTATCTTGAATTTAATGAAGCATTCACATCTAATGCTGACCGTATGCCGGCGACACGTACTTTCCATTTTCCACAATCACGTTAACCTGTTTTTGCGGCTTGCCAGACCACAAGTTCTCCAGAATCTCTTTCGTTCCAGCCAGGTAGCGTGCCTGGGCATCAAGCGACGTGCCCGAAATGTGCGACGTCATAGCATTACCACCACCTAGCGTCGGGTTCCAAATGTTACGCATGCCGCGCCATGGATGATCTTTCTCTGCAGGCTGTGGAAATGATACATCACCACCATAACCATTCAACTGTCCGCTCTTCAAAGCATCCGCAATGTCTTCCTTCACACAAATAGCTCCCCGTGCCGTATTCACGATCCAAGCTCCCTTTTTCATCTTGCTGATCAGCTCCTTGTTGAACAAGCCCTTAGTGCCTGCATGCAATGGTGCATTGATCGTCACAATGTCGCACTGACTAACAAGTTCTTCGACAGAGGGTACATGACGGACGCCCATCGCTTTCTCAGTTTCAGAGTCGGCGCGGTTGTAGTCATAGTACAGCATCTCCTTCATATTAAATGGCTTCAAGCGCTCCATAATAAGACGCCCGATACGACCAAAGCCAACTGTGCCCACGACCTTGCCTTCAATGTCATACGAGTTTTGTGCAATTTCTGCCACATTCCAATCGTTCTTTTCAGCGTACTGCGTGTGCGCTGGCACAAAGTTGCGCACAAGCACTAGGATAGTCATAACGGCATGCTCGGCGACAGATGTCACATTCGAACCTGTGACTTCATACACACCAATTTTGCGCTCATTGGCTTTGTCAAGATCAACATGGTCACTTCCAACACCAGCAGTGATGCACGCCTTGAGCTTTGGTGCCTTGTCAATCCGCTCAGCTGTAACATAAGCCGGGTGGAAGGGGGTTGTAATCACAATATCTGAATCCTTCAGTTCTGTATCAAACTTTGATGAAGAATCATCCTTGTCGTCGGTGACGACAAGCGAGTGACCCTTGCTCTCGATCCATTTGCGCAGACCGAGCTCATTCTCTACCGTTGCAAGGAGTTTGGGCTGGCGCTTGGAGGCTTCTCCACCGCGGTAAAGTGCGGCGAGAACTTTGTCAGAACGACGCGCTGATACCGAGAAGGTGCGCGTTTGCAAAGCACGCATGGCAACAGATGAATTGAATAGGAGCATGTCTTCTAGTGTATGTTGGATGGGGAGAAGATCATCAAGAAGCTGCAGCACCTGGTATAAGTAGCCACTAGATTGTAGTGATGTGGTCCGTTCGCAGCAGATGAGCACCGAGACGACCCGATATCGGGAAGATGTGCATGTGAATGCATTCTTAATCCCTTTAACCGCGGAGTTTTGCTCCGACGTGATGGCCTGGAATTTTGGGATTTAAAAATCTGTGGTGACACCACGCGATCATCGGCAAGTACGCGCGGATAAATTCGGATTTTCATATAAGCTCTCGATCTCGTTACCCATATGGCGTGCTTAATTCCGAGGTGGTTTAAGGTTAGCTGAGGCCACTGATTTTTAACTCCTCGGGATGTGTTTTTGAATTAGAGACGAGTCATAAAAATTAGTGCTTGGGTACATGTACTCTATATGATCTGATCACGGTCATATATTCGACCGGTTCATTTATAGGCGCCACGAAAAAATGCCACTGGCGCTTGAATGATTAAACTTTACACTTGGTTGACCCAAACCGAATCTGTACATCTGGCCGACCCGATATGGTGGGGATGTGTTTGAATAAAACTAAAGCTCAGATGATCACTAGTTGGCCTGCTGTCTTGGCTCTTGGAGCATATCCACGCACGATACTAGGAAAGATCTTCTAATAAATCACTTAAACGGTCCAATAGCGAATTTCATTGTACGCCAAAAATCCTTTTCCAAGCACGTGTTCCTTGTCCCTATCGTCTCAGACGACATAATCTTATTCTATGACATGACCAGAATTGTGCGACTTACTAGTTCTTTACACTTGCATGCAAGCGCTTGTGCTTCGACACATCCTGTACATTTCAGAGACACTCGAGGATGTCAACAGCGCAACCACCGCAATCTTTAGCGAAGCTCGAGATGTCGCTAATGCAAACCTCCTTGGTCTTGTTAGGGTTCGAGGTAGCGCATTCAGTAATGCTCTTGGCGCAGTTGCCGCAGGCGGAGAGAATGTCACCGCTGCCAAACTTGCAAGAAAGGTCGCCAGCCTTGATGTTGGCTTCGTATCCCTTTACAGAGACTTTAGCGAAAGCAACAGATGCAAAAGCAGCAGCGAGAACGAGGGCCTTGTACATGGTGATAAGAGTTGAATTGACGTTGAGGTGCTGTGTGTCCTCACGATGAGTCGCAAATTTATATCTTCATGGTCATTATCTAGACATGTTCCATTTTCATCTTCTCGTTTTTTGTGCGTAAAATCTTACCCGTTGCTTCAACGTCATTGGGTCAATCACCTTTCTTTCATCAAGAGTTTAACACGTGCTGATTGTAGCTCATACTATGTGGTCGGTTATATGCACGGCTTGACCCTGACGCTTAAAATTAACCGAGGGTTGATACATATTACGTTTCTGACTCTTTGATTGGTGCAATCAAACTTAGGAGTGAGTGCACTTCCATTATAGTCATACTTTGCACCGAATAACAATGATGCATAGTGTGTTAGCACTTAGATGGAGTGAATGATGCTCCGGTTTCGACGTTTACGAAGCTTCCATGAGAGAAGCATGTTGTGGTGCTAACTCGTGGAAGACCAGAGTAAATAAATTTGCACAACCGCACGGTGTTTTCGGTAGCCCTATCTGAACGCGAGAATTTGCTATTTCTCGTCTTTTATTTCTATGGACTAGAGTGCTCGCTGTATTTGCGAACGAAGCACGATCTGTTATAACTGATTTTGACAAAATGTAGCAATAATTTTACCGTTGGCTTGTCAGCTCATTAAAAATCTTTGTCGAATCGATAGCGACTTTGGAGCTCCTAACTGTTTTACTCTTTCGGAATAACTTAGCATGTCTTGGTTTTAAACAATCAGAACTCTTACTTAGTTTCGCAACGCAAAATTACAAATTCCGCAAAGACCGGTATCGGCGGAGACTCAATGTTGCCAGAAGTTGGACATCCAAATGACATACGCCTAGGAATCTGAATCCGGACTCTGTCCATTCGGGTTGCACGTGACACATGTCAAGGAAGGGCGTCCAACATCATGCGCGTCATACATAATTCGATCTGATCGCGTCAACAAAGTCATTTATGCCTAGGCACCCTATTCAGGCATGGAGTCTATCATACCTGATGTTCCCGGTGTGCCGGTATCAGATCCAATGCAACTGGAGTTTTTAAGAGATCATGTTCGAAACTTGTGCAATCTCAGATCGACTCGGTACGTGTTGTACTGAACTTACAGTAGCTTTCCAGGGTCTCAACCAGTGTCGTTCAATAAATCATCTCTAGACGTGCTACTTCACGAAGAGTATGTTCTTTTGCTACTAAACAATAGCTTTTGGGTATGCGAAAAGTCTGATGGTCAGCGTGTACTTGTTCTAATTGTGGTCCCTCCAGTGACAGGTATCCAAGAAGTTTATCTGGTACGTGCGCTGAATCCCATTGACCTTTAGATCGACCGGAAGAATGTGTATTATCGAGTTCATGGTATATATTTCCCGCCGTTACCGCGTGGCACAGGAACAATGATGGAGCCATTCCCATTAACCAATACACTCTTGGATGGAGAGCTTGTTGTTGATACACTGGCCAAAGGTCAAACAAAGCTGAGGCTTTTATTATTCGACTGTCTCGTTATTGACAGCATGAACATAACAAATCGTCCATTGAGTAGGCGATATGCCAGTCTACAGATGCAACTATTCCCAGCATTCCGTAAATTCATGCAAGGACATCCAGACTTACAGATGATGCTTCCTTTTGAAATCCAGGTGAAACCAATGGATCTAGCATATGGAATTAGCGCCGTGATTGAGCACAAAATACCTCATCTTCTCCATGGAAATGATGGGTTGATTTTCACCAGCTTTGAAAGTCCCTACGTGTTTGGAACAAACTCCAAAATCCTGAAATGGAAGCCGCCGCATGAGAATACAATCGACTTTATGCTTCGTCTGCGCTTTCCACCTGATTTTGAGGCTGATAAAAGCGGAAATACACCTGATTATTGTGCGAAGCCCTTGTTTCAGCTGTGGCAGCATGAAAGCGGTGATGTGCACGTCCCATTCGATTGGCTTGACATGGACGATGATGAATGGGAGCGTTGGAAGGAAAGTGGGCAACAGCTTGATGAGCGCATTGCTGAATGCGCCTGGCACCCTCCCGCATCAGGCGATGAGAGCATTTCAACTTGGCACATCAAACGCCTGCGAGATGATAAAATTACCGCTAACCATAAAACGACCATATCCCGGATTCTCCAGAGTGTGCGGGACGGTGTTTCAGAAGAAGAGCTTATAAGTCTTGTACCAGCTATACGTGAAGCGTGGAAAACACCAGAACGTGAATCTCACAGAGCGGAATTGTTTGGGCCATCTCGGCAAGTACGTCGTAAATCATGTTTCAAAGGTCTTGGTGGTCCAGGTGCCCCGCTGGTTCGGGGTGGGATGCCAAATATTAAGCGTTAAATATGGGATTTCATGGTAGATTGCCAATTGTAGTACTTAATTATCATTACTGTTTCATTCGAGCTGGGACCCAGCGTCGGATTGTCACTTCTTTGACACGGAATGCTCCTCGCTGGAGTTCAGTGACAAGCCCTTTGGGCGTTGACAGTGCTTCGATAGAGCTCTCGTTGATGGGGGGAATCAACACGTGTGCCAAGACAAGTGTCTCCATGTAAGTAATTAAGACGTACCTTTTGGACTTGTGTATTGACTCGGTTCATCATGCTAAACCAAATCCATGACTTTTCACCGGCATTATGGTGCCGCATGAACGGCGATCCTTCTCTATCTTGCTCATTCTCGTACTCAGGAATCACAAGAACTGAGAACTCAGCATGACTGAATACGGGTCCCCGCTTGTATAATAGAAAGTCCACGCAAAACTTTGTGCCGCTCTTGACGACCCATCCCAAGCTGCGGAAATGGTGATATACGACATACGAAAGAAGAAAAGGGTTATCTGGTCGAACCCACTTTAGCTGGTTGTGCGCGTCGAACCGAGGGAGATATGAAATCATGCACAACTGATAAAGCGTATCGAGCGATAAACACTTCTGGTTAGCATGCAAATTGGCACGTACATGTCCATTCACATCATGGACTTCTAGACATCCAAGCATAGCGGCCAGGAAAAAGGCTTCGATCATTGTGAGTTGAAAGTGCTCAACATCTTGGCCGTCTTCTTCCTCCTCCTCTTCAGCATGTTCTTCTTGTTCATCTGTATCCACTTGGGTAGACTGGATGTCATCTGAAAAGTACTTCAGTCCCTTAATGCGAGAGACACCAGCTTCAACAATAGGCTTGTCTTCATCACCACGCCATAGCTCGCCATCTGCGCCCCTACCCAATGTATCGTCGTCTCGAAGCTCGCCGCCCAAGGCTGTAATGCCATCAGGCAGCTGAATACCAGCACGAACTGCTGCTCGCGCGCGCTCAATTTTTAATAGTCTTCGCTCTTCACGACGCCGTTGCGTCATTTGCTCCGCTGTGATTATACCACGTTGCCGCGCCTCTTTTTCAGCAATTTTTCGAGACGCCCATGTAGGCTCACTGCGACTCAGACTGCCCTTTCCAAAAAAACCCTGCGTCCACAACTTCAGTGCATCGCCTTGATCATACATCCATACAGATCTTGTGACAGGATCGTACCACCCAACATAAAGCGGTGGTGATGGTGATATGCTTTCATGAATCCAATTCGCCCATTCATTGAACCAATCCCACCAAGAACGTGAAGCGACTTTTCTATTTCTTTGCACTGAAGAATGTCCTATTGGAAGAGGATTCCCATAGATTTTGCGCTTCTCTTGTGTGGACTTCTTACCCGCACCTTGGATTGTGCCTTGTGTCGTATTCATATACTGACGATGACTCACAACTTGTGGCGGATGTCAAAATACTTGTCTGATCCTGCTTTCTTTTTCAAGCTACTCCACATCGCCCTGAGCCCCATCACTAAGACTGGAACATGTCGAAATACTCGCTGAATTTGTAGTATGAAAAAAAACGTCAAAATAAACTGGTATTTTACTTAGGGGGAAGGAATTACAAGAAAATCTACCATGTACAGCGAAAATAAGGTTAGTTGAGACATCCTACACGACCAGCGCCAGAGCAGCTCAGCACGTCAACACCAAGAATCCTGATAAACATCAACTTCATCACTCTTCGATTAGGACGAAGTACTGTGGTGATGATGCTTGGAGGACTTTGTCGATGAACTTGGCTTGCTCGAAGACTTTTCCTGCGTGTTAGTGGTTGATAGAGATGATGATGATCCTTTGACTCTCTTAAGACTAGCATTGCGACCCGATGGAGAAGACGTAGAAGACGAAGACTTGGTGTTAGAATATGTAGGAATGCAATGCTTTTCGAGCGCTGAACCCACCTTGCTAGCCGATGGGAATGGTCGCAGTAGTGGCGGCAGGAGGCTGCTGTCATCACCGTCATCATCATCACAGATGATGTCGTCATCATCATTGTTATCACTGTTACTCGAGTGGGAGTTGGAATTTGAATTCGAGTTCGAGCCAGCGCCAGAGTTCGAGCCAGAGCTGCCTGAACCAGAGCCAGATTTCGAATTCGAATCAGAATTGGAGTTTGAACTAGCGCTTGAATCCGAGTTCGAGTTCGATCCAGAACCTGAGTTAGAATTTGAGTCAGAGTTTGAGCCGGAGCTTGAGTTGGCATTCGAATCCGAGTTGGAGCCAGAACCAGAGCCAGAGTTCGAGCCCGATCCAGAGTTGGAGTCAGAGTTCGAGCTTGAGTTGGCATTCGAGTTCGAGTTGGAGCCAGAACCCGAGCCAGAATTAGAGCCCGATCCAGAGTTGGAGTCAGAGTTCGAGCTTGAGTTGGCATTCGAGTTCGAGTTGGAGCCAGAACCTGAGCCAGAGTTAGAACCCGATCCAGACTTGGAGTCAGAGTTCGAGCTTGAATTGGCATTCGAGTTCGAGTTGGAGCCAGAACCTGAGCCAGAATTAGAACCCGATCCAGACTTGGAGCCAGAGTTCGAGCTTGAGTTGGCATTCGAATCCGAGTTGGAGCCAGAACCTGAGCCAGAATTAGAACCCGATCCAGACTTAGAGCCAGAGTTCGAGCTTGAATTGGCATTCGAATCCGAGTTGGAGCCAGAACCTGAGCCAGAGTTAGAACCCGATCCAGACTTAGAGCCAGAGTTCGAGCTTGAATTGGCATTCGAATCCGAGTTGGAGCCAGAACCTGAGCCAGAATTAGAACCCGATCCAGACTTGGAGTCAGAGTTCGAGCTTGAATTGGCATTCGAGTTCGAGTTGGAGCCAGAACCTGAGCCAGAATTAGAACCCGATCCAGACTTGGAGTCAGAGTTCGAGCTTGAATTGGCATTCGAGTTCGAGTTGGAGCCGGAACCTGAGCCAGAATTAGAACCCGATCCAGACTTGGAGTCAGAGTTCGAGCTTGAATTGGCATTCGAATCCGAGTTGGAGCCAGAATTCGATCCAGAGTCCGAGTCCGAGCTCGTGTCTGAGCCATCATTATGTGGATTCGACTTGGAATTTGAGCCAGAGTTGGACGTTTCTCTCGGCTTGGATGTCGATGTAGCAATGACCGGTGATGTAGTGATCCCTTTCGTCTTCACAGTCTTCGTTGGGGCATGGCCATTGTTACCATTGCGCCCGCCATTCAGTCCATCGATAACAATGTTCTCTCCGTCTTCACCGTGCAGGGTGAAAGTAGCAGCAATTGTGGCGGTGGACGTCCAATGCGACGGCTTCGCCGATTTGGTTTCAGTGATCACGTTGGTTGTCGTACGCATTTGTGTCACGGTCGTCTTTTTACCCTTCTTTGTTTTCGTCACAGTTTCTGTGTCCTCACTTGTTTGGGGCATGAGGATCGTGCCTGTATATGGCTCCCAAGTAGGCTCTTCATGACGGCGACGCGACTTACGCATCATCCCATTTCCACGATGGGGAAATCGGACTCCGTCATGTGCTTTGTAGTGCACCACCTTGGGCTTGTGAACCTTTGTTGCGCGGCGCCCGGATCCAACATCGACGTTCAGAGCTGGAGTCTCGGTAACACGAGCAGCGGCAAGATCTCCGTTTGCGTGCCCACCAACTGGTGCAGCCCAGGCGTAATTTGATTGGTTTCCTAGCACCAAAGCCAAACACACCAGGCTCACAAAAGCCTTTTTCACTGAAAATGTCGAACCAAGATGATCGGTCATGGCGAAAAGTTGTGGGGGATGTGAGTAATCTTAAATGAAGAAAAAGTCGAAGAAGATACCAGCTCTTCTGACGCTAAAAAGGTAATGGATGAGTGAATAGGAGACGGGGGATAGACGGGGGTCTAGAGCAATTCACCAGGAATGCTCAGAGAGGGCGTAAGGAGAACAACGGTCGATTAGGCTACCAGAGCCGAGTCGAAGGGATTTGGGGGGATGAGGGGCAGTTCCATAAGCAATTCCGTCCATCTTTTATGAGCAGATCATACGGCATGAATTCATGTCTTATTGCAACTTCCACTCCGCCTGGACAGACAATATCACAAGTAGATTGGTCAATTCGAAAGGAACATCTACTAATGGTCTGTGTGTACATGACTCTCGGAACAATTTCCAAGTTCTGACTCGTTTCACAACGCGCGTTGCCACCCTCCACATCCTACTGTCTGCCAACGCCGCCGCCTCTTTCATATACACGTAATCGTGTCAGGGTGACAATGAGTGATCCAGAACTGGAAGCGATTCGTCAAGCGCGTCTAGCAGAACTGCGCGCGAGCACAGGAGGTATGCTGGTAAAATATTGAGTAGTACTTACGCTTAGGTGCACGGTTGCCTTCGGCAGCTCCAAGTGGCGTAAGTTCTTCCTCCATGATGGGAGGAGTGGAACCGAACGAAGAACAGGCCGCGCAGCGTGATGAATTAAAACGCCAGATGCTTTCCCAAATACTTGATGGTGAAGCTCGGGAAAGATGTACGTCCACTTTGCTTTAGTGCTTTCGTGCTCATAATCACAGTATCTCGAATTGCATTGGTCAAGCCGCAAAAGGCCGATACTATTTCGGACCTCTTGCTTCAAATGGCGCGATCTGGCCAAGTGAGACAGCGAGTCACTGAAGACCAGCTTATCATGCTGCTAGATCAAGTGGATCAAGCCACTTCTCAAGAGTCTACGGGCAAAATTACTGTGCGTATTTACTTTTCATCTAACTTCCAGGTCACTCGAAAAAAGACACTGAATGATGATGATGACGATTGGGATCTATAGAGTCTGCTTTTTTCTACATACCATCCAAACCAACCCTTTTGCCACTTGATACAGGTACTCCTGTTACTTTTGCGCCGATAACTATGGGCTGAAGCTTCCTACCTCCGCAACACGCCGCAAAAGAACGCGCTTCTCCCAAGAGGAAGAAAAAAGTATGTAAGCGTGGAGCGAGCTCCGTTGGCAAAATGCAGACCAGGGGCACCACGTGCTCGTAGGCCTTCTGGCATCGTTCATCGACGCGTGAGAGCATTTCGCACCGTGGCCGACGGCATAGCATTCGTCGCCATGCCGCGTTTGTACCTACGCATGCCAAAATCCGCGCTTACGCGGTATTTTACATCTTTTCTTGGTTTTATGGACATCAAAGTAGGATGTCAGATCATCTCGTTGTTTTCTCTGTTTAACAAAATTGCAGGTGTCTATGGTATCATTGCGGTGTTTCAAGGCGGCACATTTGCGCAGGTATCGTTGTATATATATTCCATTGCGACGATCCCCTTATTCATATGGGGACTAAATGCTATCAGTGTGGAAAAGCACCAGTCGGCTTTGCGATATGCACACCTGTATTTTTTAGATCATATGATATCTACCGGATGGACCGTGTTATTTGGGGTTTGGTGGTACAATTTTGCGCAGCATGATGGCCGCCCCGTGACAAATTCAAGTCATCAGGCTGGGCTTATGAGCCTGATTGAGTCGCTTGAAGCTCAATACCATACACCTGAAGAAATGGCTCTCCTTCGACACAATACCACCAGCGCGGATACACCTGAGGGTGCAGCTGAAATGGCTCTTCGTACACAGCGTGCGCGAGAGATTTGGCGTGCAGAGCGTGGATTTGCTGCGAGCGTCTTGTGTGTGGGATGGCTGATTAAAATCTACTTTGCTGCCTTACTCTATGCGTATGCTTTACACTTGCGTCATGGCACGTACTGGATGCTGCCACTATCAAAATCGCGAAGAGCGAACGCTGTCCATGCTTCAGCACAACATTCTGAACCTACAGAGACAGATGAGATTGCTATCACTGAGGACAATGATGCTGAAAGTACCGGAAACAAGGAATGAAGAGCGACAGAGATGCATGTAGCCTGTTCTCAGTCACGCAGTGCACATGGACTTCAATTGCACTCGTTTGGCTTGCCAGGGACTTGAGAATCACTCTTGGACGGCACCTTCGCGAGCATCACACAGTCTTGGCACATGCTCGTCTAGACCGCTGTCCAGGATGATCTGCATAAGACGTTAGTGATGTAACATGCTCCATTCATGGCTACAAAGCTTCATGTTCATACAGGCATGTCGAAAGCATTCCAATGGATCGATCTGGTAGTGCATCCAGACCGACCTAAATCCATAGCTCTCTTTTTTCCATCTTGCCACTAGCTTCAATCGCCATGCCATTTACAAGATTCGGCAAGACGATCAAATAGTAGGGCGCACACATTCGATACTGACACTGATACTGACAATGACACTGACGATAACATTGACAGTTATGCATTCTTGTCCGCGTGAAGCACACTTTGCTCATGATACCATTTTAAAACTAGTTATCCGACGTAGCGTGGGATACAAGGGCTTTCTTGAGGGTTTCCGCTGCCTCTTCCGTCTTGACTTTACAGCGTAAGTTGCATGGTTTGGCCTCGATAAAGCCGAGGAACATTAGGACATTTTTTTCGCGTGTAACTTTGAGACCCTCATACAATGAAAAATTCAACACGACATTGCCGTTCACGGCGTTTCGTGCAAGAACACGAGACTTTTGTGTTGTCCGTGATGTCTTGACTCGCATGATGCTGATTCCCATATCCTGCCACTTACCAGTATCGAGGCGCCAAATCTTCGCACGCACTTCGTGTGCGGTATCTTCATCTTCTTCACCTTCTCCTTTCGATGTCAAGACGTTGGTGCCTGGGAGATCACTTGCTTGTTCAGACGACGAGGGCTCCGATGGTGCTGGTGCTGACGTTGACGGTTCGGCGGCAGCAGGTTGGGCTGACACTGATACAGGTTCAGAGGGGGACTTGAATACAGGTGTAGTTGACCCGAGTGGAAATTCAGGTGGCCCCGTGCTGCTAGCACCAAACGAGAATACAGGGGCCGGTGGTTTCGACTCTTGATATGCAGTTGGTTGGAATGATGACGCATGTGCTTCCTGAGATGTAGAAAGTTGGACGTGCGGCCTGCTTCGGGAATCCTTCGTATCTGACGATGCGGTCTCTCTGGACGCTGGCGCTTCTAAAGTGGAAGCACAATGAGCAGGAGGAATGTTGAATGGAAATACAGGAAGGTGATCGTGGGGAATGCGCAGTGCCTCGCTCTGTTCAGACGAAGCACCAGCAGGGAGCTCTCGCTTTGATGGCGGTGTCACAATACACCACGCTGGGATATCATTAGTAGACGAAGAAATAGTAGATATCGGACTGTCGTGGGACAAGGATGAGGGCAAGGGCTTGAGTTGCGTTTCAGAGGATGCTGTGTTTGGCAAGGGCTTTGTTGTGGCGGCTGAGTCGGCAGCTGACCCTTTAGCAGCCTCCTGCGTGCGCGTATCGTCAGCGCCTTTTGATGAAAGCGAGATAGACGACGCGGACTTCGGGATCAACGAGGTCCTTGTATGCATGGCAATTTCCGGCACCAGAGAAGCATCCGACATAGAGGGTGGTATCGTGTCGTATAATGAGTCTGACGCTGGAACGTCGTTGTCGACTGATTGTGATGTGGGCGTACTCATAGCCAAAGGCGACGGCCGCTTGGGCTTGTTTGTCACATGCCAAAGAGCAGCTGAATCCTTGATCTCTGTGGAACTGCCGCCACCTAGTTCAGGCACAGAAAGGCGTGCGGAGCGGCGCGGCTCCGTGCGCTCGACCACGTCTAACAATGACAATGGTTTGCTATCCGACTTTGGTGATGTCGTCATAGATGCACGATTTCGCGCAGCCTCAAGGGCTCTCGCACGAGTCGATCGGCTCGATGGCTGGGGGGACTTGGATGACCGTGTTTGGTAAGGATTGACGACATCTGGGACGGGCGGCTTTGGCGGCGATGTTGCGACCGGCTGCATAGAATCCAAAACCTGCCGCATTGTCGAGGCGGCTCGCGTCGAGCGTCGAACCGGAACTTCTGGCACTTCAGACACCTCTTGCATGTCCGAAAATTCTGGCGCACTGGCCTCACGATCGACTGTTCGTCTTAGCGTATCCAGCGGCTGTGAAGAGGGAGTCTTGACAGGTGATGCAAACGACACACTGGCATCGTCCGAGGCTGCGTGTGTCTTTCTGCGCTTATCAGACGTTGTCAAAGTAGTATCCCGGGCAAGTATGGGTGCCCGATGTTGAGAAATCGCACTCATGGAGTACGTCGACTTCATGCCTGACCGAGCAGGCGAGTACGCCCTGCGTGTGGAAGTGCCAGGACCGAAATAGATCGGTGCGTGCCTACGGCCTGGCGAGCTCGTTGTACTGATGGCAAAGGGAGACGTTGAGAATGGGACGTTCGTCGCACGCTTCGTTGGCGTTTCGAATGAGCCAGGATGGAATGCCACAGGTGCCACAGGCGAGCGAGTTTTGTTCGCAGCCCATGGCTTGCGTGCGTACGGCGAAGGGTTGGTGCGAAGGGACGTATCTGGCGATGGGGACGCTGGAGGATCCAGTGCAAGTGGCGTCTCGCTAGCCTCGGTAAAAGTCTCGTTTGCATCATCATTACCATCCTCGTCCATCGATGAGGAAGCAGGGGGCTCAGGACCTGTATGATGGAATGGAGATATCCACCCAAACAGACCCTGCACTAGCGACTGTGAGCGTCGCATGCCACCGCTGTAACCACCATGAGCCTGTTCCATACCATGCTCGCCACGCTGATACACCATTAGCTCGTTCCGTCAACCGAAAAATAAAAATAAAAACAAAAGCGGAATGCTTGCACGCTGTGCCGTTTTCTTCTTCCTTCCACTTCTCTCAACTGTAGCACAGCTATGCGACTTTCCAAATCACAGATAGCAATTGGCTTTGACTAGAGCGCTGGCTTCCAATGGAGAAAGGGGGCGGGCGGTTGGCAAAAGATACGTTCGTGCTCTATCGCATGCCGACATGCGTGTAAATCACGTGACAATCCGTTTCGCTCCTGGAGAAGTTGTGTTCACCTGTCGGTCAGTACGTCGGATGGGACAGCTCTAGGAGTTGGACACGCGCGAGCGGTGCCAGAGCGTGCGAGTCTGACGTAGGTCTTTGCGAGGCGGGTCGATCCTTCTTGTTGGGAAGAGGATCATAGAAAAAAAGAGTGAAAGAGAGAGAGAGAGAGATACGATCATGGCACCCGACGAAGTGGACCAAGAAGATCCGCTGCAAGCAGTTGTTTTGTGTGATGTGTTCAACCAGCGTTTTGCTCCACTGACACTGGACCATCCACGGTGCCTCCTGCCGGTGTGCAATGTGCCGCTGATTGAATGGACACTCGAGTCGCTAGCATCAGCTGGTGTACAGGAAGTGTTTTTGTTGGCTACGTGGCATGTCGAAAAGGTTCGCGAGTACCTAGAGAAGCATCATCCTTTGTTGTTCAAGCCGCAAAGCTCGCGCTCTCAGGGACCGAGTGCCACATCGCTTTCTCGCATATCGCTGATCCCTGTGCCCGAGGCGCGCTCTGTCGGCGACGCAATGCGTGAACTTGATGCCCGTCAGGTCATCAAGTCGGACTTTGTGCTTGTGCACGGTGATTCACTAGGCAACCTCGACATCGCATCCGTCGTACGTGCCCACAAGGAGCGCCGGCGTGTGGACCGCAATGCCATCATGACGATTTGTGCTATGTCAGTCGCAGAAAACAGCCGTGCCCGCCGTCATGGAGACTTGTCGGTGTTCACTCTTGTGCCTAACACGTCCCAGCTTGTTCACTACACGTCAATCCCGGCTATACCTCGAGTTGCTTTGCTAAAGCTGCCACTTGAACTATTTGAGAGCGCTCGGGATCTGGATGTGCGCAATGATCTCGTCGACTGTGGTGTGGACGTCTGTGCCATTGATGTGCCGCCTTTGTTCACAGAAAACTTTGATTACCAGTCGTTACGACGTGAATTTGTTCAAGGCATTCTCACATCCGACCTGCTGGAAGCAAAGATCTTTATGCATGTGTCACCACCGGCCAGTTCGACATCGACGTCCGCTGGCGAGCCATTTTCCACGGTGTCGGGAGGTGTGCTGGGCTCACCAACGTACGGGGCCGGCTACATGCTTCGTGTTTGTGATCCAGCGCGTTATGATGCTGTGAGTCGCGATGTATTAGCTGGCTGGACATTTCCCTACACCCCCCGCCTTGGTATGCCGGATGGTGCCAAGTATACCAAGTCGTCTGGCTCCTGCTTCGTTAGTGACCGTGTAACGATATCCAGCTCCGCATCAATAGGTCGTCGGACCATGCTGGACGCACACACGCGCATTGAGGATGGTGCTATTGTAGGTGAGTCTGTGCTGGGTAAGAATGTCCTGGTCGGCCCTGGAAGTGTGGTGCGTCATTCGTACTTGTGGGACAGCGTCTCTGTCGGGCGGAACTGCACAATTGACGGATGCATTCTCGGTGTGGGCGTTCAGATCATGGACCATGTGCACCTGGCACATGGCACTATGGTGGGCGATGGCTGCATCATTGGGCCTGATGTGTCACTCGCGCCATTTTCGCGTGTGTCTATGCATGCCTACCGCACTAGTGAAGATGACTCTGGCGACGAAGACATGGATACTGACGCTGACACGGCACTTGGTAAGGCGTCTCGAGGCTGTCTATGGGCCTCGCTGGATGCAGCCGCCGCGTCCCTGGCACACGACGAGTCCGATGACGATGACGTCGACGTCCTTGAGCATCCACGCAATGCCAAGTTGTTCATGATTCGTCCTGACACATCGGGTGTGGAGCTGAGTGACGCGGCCTCAGATCTGTCTTCGATAGACGCAGACTCAGAGCCTGGTTTGATGGGCAGTGACATGGGCGACTCGGACGACGAAGACTCGGACCTGTCTTCGTCGCTATCGGCGAATGGCTACGGCAGCATGTCGCTCACGCTCCCAGGAGGTACAGAATCCCAGACGTATGGTGAGAAACTCGAGACGGAGGAGCGCGTGCGGGAATTTGAAAATGAAGCGCGTGCTTCTTTGGAGCGAGCGTTTGAGGAGAAGCATGCACCCGAAAATGCTGCTATTGAACTCAAGACGCTGCGCATGGCAAGCAATGTGCCGCCGGGTGAAGTTCGCAAGGTGGTCGTGTCGTTCCTTCTGGGCCGGTGCTCTGTGGAGCGGGCGAAAGAAACGGCCGATCTCCTGGATCATTGGGGCCCGCTTTTGCAGGAAGTGGCTCAAGATGACCAGGTCGAGGCCCTTGCACTCATGCAATCATACTGCGCCTTGCACCTGTCTCATACACGCCTCTTCCTTCCCCTACTCAAGAAAGTGTACAACGATGAGATTGTCAGTGATGAGGCCATCCTGACATGGTGGCGGCATCCGTCCAGTCGGCACGTCGTGCTGCACGATGAGCACAAAAAGGCTGATGCGCAGCAGGTCGTGCTCGAGTTGCGTAAGCGCGCCGAGCCTGTTGTGCGACACATTCTGGAGACCGATGATGATGACGACGAGGACGACGACGATGAGGAGGAGGAGGAGGAAGACGAAGACGACGACGATGATGAGTAGAGCGGGCGACATTTATACATGCCAGCTACGTTCCAAGTGCGTATGCGCTTGCGATCATTTGCACAATATCTGTCCATTCAAGCATCGCACCCTGGCCAACATCTCCGCAAGCGAGGCGTTTGGAGATGGGTCCATAGACCTTGTACCCAAACGATTCGATAGTTTTGATCTGCGCAACCGTTAGTGGATGCATGTACATGAGAGTATTCATCGCAGGAAAGATCCAGGCGGGTGTCGAGGGCGACAGTGCGCGCATGAAGGACGTCAATACGTTGTCACAGAGACCATGACACAATTTGGCCAGTGTATCAGCACTGCATGGCGCCACAAGCACGAGATCCGCCCATCGTCGAAGCTCTATGTGCAAAACAGGGTCTCCTACACGTTTCCATGCACGCCATTCATGTTCATCTGTCCATACGCGAAGCCGTGGTGACTTGGCATGTATGCCTGTTCTGTTCATCTCGGCCAAATCTGCCACAGAAAAGTGCTGAGACGAGAGGTCCATCGCCTCAATTTGGTCCCTCTGGAAAAAGTGCAAGGCTGCTGCACTCGCAACGACAAATACATGAACGTTTGCATACTGAGTGTGAGACTCCATAAGCTTTTGTTCTCTCATGTACGTACATTCATCAAGCGCTCGACCATGAGTGGAATTTTCACACTGGCCACACTGCCTGTGCATGCAATCACTACATGCAACGGACGATCTCGTGTAGGTGGTCTAGCGAGTTTCGCGTACGAACTTTGTAGCGAGCGCGGCACAATGGCACCCGACGCGTCCATGCTTGGCTATCACTCACACACACAAACACACTGAGATCCTCCAACAAAGTTAACAAAGCCTAAGCTCCTAGGAGCATGCATGTGCTAATATGATAGAGATGGACCGTGCCGGATGCAATCCTCCACAATGGTTCAAATCCGATTCACAACATTCACACTACGGAGTTTACTTGATTCTGAAAGACATCCCAGGTCGACTCTAATTACGTCTCAGAGGGCGATGGCCATGCTTTATCAGCGACTCGGGCCTCTAGAATTCGTGCACGCACCAAGTCATTGTACTTCGCCAGCTGATTGTACTCGCGTTCGAACACTGCTGGCTGCGACAAAACACGATAGATCCGCATCGCAGCGTGCACCTCATCAACATTGCTCATGCCAATGAGTGTGCGCAATACAGGCACGCCATTCGAGTCCACCGCCTCCGACCCACTTATGCCACGGAACAGAGCAGTTTGGCCCATAACGACAGAGGGGTCGACAACTGAGCAAGGAGAAGCTGCATCCTTCTGAAGCTCACGCAGAGCACCACGTGCCGCTGACATGAGGCGCGTATCGGCTGGATGCCATGCAGGTGGGTCGCGGTCAGAAAACAGGCCCATTGAGAATGGTGACGCATTGAGCACGAACGGCGCACGCCACGTCGCTTCTCTTCCTGGTGGACAGGCGGCAAACAAGTCCTTCCAGGCAGGCAAGAGGTCCGAATGCAATGTGTGATGGCTGTAACTAAGAACAACGTCGAGACATCGATACGGTGGATGCGAGGCAACTAGTCGGACGATCCGAACCAGCTCACCGAGTGGGTATCCACTAATACCAACTTGACGCACCAGACCCTGATCTTTCAGCTCGAAGAGCGCACGCACGGCGTTCAGCACTCGCTCGTCGCCAGGACCGCGGATTTGCGATGCATCTTCAGAGGCTATGCCAAGCACCTTTTGCGCCTCCTCAGGGGACCACACGCGCTCCTGTGCTGTGCCAACTGCGCAAGCCTCGAGCCATCCAGCATTACTGCCCTTGACCGCCTCGGCGGGTTGATCACTGACGAACTCCACATCATGTAAGAGTGCCACGTCGAGGTATGTTGTGCCCAGACGCTCGAGGCTCTTACGGATCGATGTGTGCACGCGCTCGGGCGAATAGTCAAACATGTGTTTTTCTGGCCCGTACCGCCCGCATTTCGTGATCAGGAAGTACGATGATCGTGGGCGCTCAGGAGCCAAGATTCGTAGCGCACGACCCAGCACAAATTCGGACGGGAAGTAGTATGGCGACGAATCCAGCGCATTGATGCCATACTTAAATGCTAAGCGTAAGGCTCGCACTGCTTCATTGCTGTACAAAACGCTGTCTTGATTGTACATGCCATGGCCAAACACACCGCCCCCAAACAGAGAGGGGACGCTTGCGTCGCAAAGTCGTTCAGCGGAGGAGCAGCACGTCTCCAAAGCGGACGATCACCGTCTTTGACATCATCATACGGCAGGTCCTCCAGAGGAACAATCGGCCCAAATGCTTCAAGAGGGGGATCTTCCGTGGGTGGGATTGGCATACCTTGCCAGAGTCGGGCTCGACGCAGCTTCGTCTGGCTCAGACAGACGGACGAGGCCTGACCCCTGGAGGCCCACGTCATCCTTTACATAATCGTGGGTGACGTGCGCACGCGCCATCGGACAGGACGGGCGGCCACTCGGGCGAATGTGGGCACATTCTCCACAGAATTCTAAGTCCGCATCCGAGATAGGGAAAGGAGGGGGGGGGGCGTTCCGACTGGGGTAGAGCGGTTAGACAACTTGCATCGCAACAACCATGTCTCTTTCGACGAAGCTAGCTATCACAGATGTTGACTTGACAGACAAGCGCGTGCTGATGCGCGTGGACTTCAATGTGCCACTTGATGGTGAGAAGATCACCAACAACCAGCGTATCGTTGCAGCCTTGCCCACGATCAAGTACGCCCTTGAGCACAAGGCCAAGGCAGTCATCCTCATGTCGCACCTGGGACGTCCAGATGGCCAGAAGCAGGACAAGTTCTCGCTGAAACCCGTCGTGCCTGAGCTTAGCCGTCTTCTGAACAAGGATGTGCAATTTGTGCCTGACTGTGTGGGCGCAGAGGTCGAGCAGGCGGTGAATGCGGCGTCAGGTGGCGCTGTGGTCCTGCTGGAGAACGTGCGCTTCCACATTGAGGAAGAGGGCAAGGGCAAGAATGCGCAAGGAGAGAAAATCAAAGCCGACAAGGATGCTGTAGAGCAGTTCCGCGCTGGCCTTACGAAGCTTGGCGACGTGTACGTGAACGATGCATTTGGCTCGGCGCACCGAGCCCACTCGTCGGTGGTGGGTGTGAATCTGCCGCAGCGCGCCTCGGGATTCCTCATGAAGAAGGAGCTGGACTTTTTCTCGAAAGCTCTCGAGTCGCCAGAACGCCCCTTCCTTGCGATTCTCGGCGGTGCCAAGATCTCCGACAAGATTCAGCTCATCGAGAACATGCTCGACAAGGTCAACATGCTGATTATTGGCGGCGGTATGGCCTTCACCTTCAAGAAGGTTGTGAACAACATGGCCATCGGCAACTCGCTGTACGATGAGGAGGGTGCCAAGAAGGTGAATGACCTCATGGCCAAGGCAAAGCAGAACAACGTGGAAGTGTTCTTCCCTGTTGACTTTGTCACGGCTGACAAGTTTGACAAGGCTGCTCAGGTCGGAACGGCGACAGACGAGAGCGGCATCCCGGATGGCTGGATGGGTCTGGACGTTGGCGAGAAGAGCCGTCAGATCTTTAAGGACGCTGTGCTGAAGGCCAAGACGATCCTGTGGAACGGCCCACCAGGTGTGTTTGAATTTGACAACTTTGCTGGCGGCTCCAAGGCCGTTCTGGATGCCTGTCTGGAGGCAGAGAAGAACGGTTGCAACGTCATTGTGGGCGGTGGTGACACGGCTACAGTCGTGGCTAAGTACAACGCCGAGGACAAGATCTCGCACGTCTCGACGGGTGGTGGTGCGAGTCTCGAGCTCCTTGAGGGCAAGGAGCTTCCAGGCGTCGCTGGCCTTAGCCAGAAGTAAGCCCGTGTCGTCGGCTTGTACAGGCTAACCACTCAGCGAGGAAACATCCCTGCATGCTCGTATGTAGGTCTTGAATGGCTCGAGAAGCCGTAGATGTCATTATGTGATGATGCGTATATGTGTCCCTATAATTTTTTTCTTTTTTCCTCTTTCACTCTTTCACTCTCGTTCCCATCCTCTCGATCTCCCCTGACCTATTGCTGCCATACAAAAGCGAGCTCCTGCTTGAGGGTCTCGTTGCGGTACTGAAGACGCATGTCCGGTACATTGGTCTTCGAGACATCGTTGCCGCTGGGGCCCGGCAGAAAGAAGCGTCGTCCGAGCCAATGACGTTTGATTTCCATTTCCCAGCCAGACTGAATCACACTATTGCGAGCCAGCTCACACATGTCAGTCGATGACAGCTTGTAGATCTGCGTTGCCACACTGTACTCTTCCAAAAGGGGCTCCTTGGACAGATGGAACTGCAATGGATCGTCTGTCGACAGTGTTACGACGAGACCTTTGCGGAAATAGTCCGGAAACGGATTCCGTTCGTAAGCCAAGAATAGCGCATTATTGCTCAGGGGCGACATGGCCAAAGGAATCTGCTTCAGGTAATACAGATACTGAAGAACTGGCACCTTCCGCAGGAGAATGCCATGAGAGATCGATTGCGACGTGAGGTACGCAGCTGCCAGATGATCAGGATCTCCCGCTTCTCCCGCATGTGGGCGCAGCACCAGCGTATTGAAACAGCGAATGCGTCGCCACTGATTCAGCGTCGCAAGATTCGCATACATGTAGTAGAGCCAGTATGAATACGGCGGACTCACTGCGAAATTCCATTCCTTCGGTGGCGGGAACTGACGCAGGAAGCGGCGCTCCGGCTTGCTTTCATCATCGACAATGTCGAAGCCCACTACCCGTTGAAGCATGATGTGCAGTTTCGGATGCGATGCAGGATCGCTCGTGACTTCGAAGAGTGGACGGAACACATTGTCCAGTAGCTCTTCAAAGTTCTGCACATTGCCGTTGGCTTTGTACACGTCATACAACCGAGGCACCTGGATCAGCCAACGCACATTGGGGCTGAACAGGTGGTGGTCTACGACCCAAGCTGCGAGCTTGTCCCATTCATGCGGATTCCGGCCGTAGATCGAGATGCGATACTCACACATCTGGTACTTGCTCTGCTCAAGATCATGCGTCACTTCGCGAGTAATTTCAGCCAGATAGCGGCCGCGGATGTAATTGTCCGTCTTGAGGAAAATTTCACGCAGCTTTGACTCACCGATTGGATTGTACTTCAGATTGAAGCGGTCAAAGCGGTGGAACGAATCCATATGCGCATGCATGTCGAGGGTATCGATGCTGAGGTCATAGGCCGTGAGCCCCAGCAGCTGGAACACTTGGTGCAGCGTCATAGGCTCGCCATCCCGGCACAAGACCACATCGTCCGCATGCCTCTTGATCTTCGCCTTGATGAAGCGCAGCAGATGCTTCTGATTCATACTCGCACTGTGGTGCACATGTGTATCGACTTTGCGCACATTGTAAAAGTCTCGATGCGACACGCGTTTGAGCATATCAGACTCGCGGTACTCGTTCAGCAGCTTGTACAAATTCCACTTGCCTTCCAGAAACTTGAGCCGACGCCAAGCAAATGTCTTTGCTGGTCCATCTGATGTAATGCTGTGTAGTATGTCCAGGTCATGAAACCACTCGCCACTCGGCGTTACGTGTGTGAGACACTTGTCGCGAGCGGCTGTCCAGGCATGGAACACGCCGTCCACCATGCCAAATTGTACATCTGCGCCATCGAGCTCGTGCTTCGGCGGCATGTCGATGTGCTCCATCCGAAATACGCCGGGCACACCACCACAGCTCTCCAGGAGCTCCTGAGCCGCAAGGACGTTCGCATGCGATGCAGGCTCCAGTGGCGCATGGAGCGACGTGCCGTTCTCCTCAGTGGACTCACGCACGAACGTCGACGTGGGCGCTGGAGAAAACTGCTCCCAGTGTGGGCGGGGTGGGGGTGGATAGATGCGCCATGGCTTGGGACGGCCATGCACCGTATCCATGGCACATCCATCAATGCGAACGGAATTCGGCGCCACTTGCATGGCGGGTGCTGGTACATCGACGTTGTGCTCCGCCGCCCATTCTGCACAGTACTCGGCATCCCAGTTCTTCGGATTGTCATACAGGTTCGCCTGGAGACTCTCGTTCATGTACTTGTCACGCATTTGGAGGCATTTTTGCAGGCTGGCAAAGAGTGGTGCGCATTCAGGTGGCATGTGCGGCGTCATGGAAATGAACGTGTTCACTTGGTCCTTGTTATCTAGATCCAGTAGCTCCATCCCTAGCGTCGGTAAGCTACCAGCTTCGGCGGCCATCGCCGTGAACGTTGCTATATTGTTCACGGGACCTGCTGTGCCGGGTGTTTCCTCGGCGGACGGTGTGCCAGCAGGACGAGACTCGTCCTCATAGCTTGGGTACATCCATTCAGCATCCTCCTGCTGTGTTTCAGACATGAACGAATTGATCGACATGGTGGACGCCACGACGCAGTCACCAGAGCTCTCGCGAGCAATTGTCAGGAACCACCAAAGCCGCTTGAGACGCTGCTGCTCCTGGCCAACAAAAATTTGGGCCCACCTATCTCCACGTCGTCGAAGGTGCACGTGGAGAGGCTGGGCTCGTGTGGTGGCGACGACGATGCCGTCGCGAGTCATGGGTACGTTCGCCACGTGGTCGGTCGACGCGTCTCGCGGTGCGTGCGTTTGATGTGATGTGATGTGATGTGGTGGGGGATGAAATTTCATCGCATCCCGACAACTGGTACAGGCTAAAGATACCAACATAGGACTTGCATGCCTGTCGAGCTACAATGGAAGCACAGCTGGCGTCGATTCGTGCGTCATTAGAGAGTCTGCATACGCAAAATATAGCCACCATTGCGCACGCGAGCCGGCCGGCGTACTTTACGAATGCGGTCCTAAATCCACAGCGCCTCGATATTCTCGAGCTGATTCGCGACGCCGACGCATTAGAGAGCTCTTTGTTTGTCACGAATCGGCAGCCGGATAGTGAGAATGCACCTGGTCCTTCTACAGCGCCAGCGGAGCCTAAGCCATTCTTGCGCCCTGTGCCTGTACCGACGCCCCTGAAGCAGGCACCCACCTCCGATACAGACGCACGAACCTACCTCTTAGCCGCCGAGAAGCTACTGCAGAACTACCACAATGCGCCGCGTGCACGCAAGCACATCCGAATGCTGCTGAAGCGCGAAGCAGAGCTCCAGCGGCATATGGCACGCTACAAAGCGACGATCGCCCAGGCGGGCAAGACACCGGCCCAGCACCATGCTCGGCCAAGCGCGACCACCACAACGCCGGGTCATCAGTCTCGCCCCTCGTCTCAAAGTCTGCGCCAGCTCAAGGACGACATTCAGCGAGAAAAGATGGAAATCCTAGCTTTGGAATCCATGCTAAGTGAGAGCGAGTCGTCTGTACAACATCGCACATCGGCCGCAGACGCTGGCCGCTCGGCCACCTCTTCGCCAACCCGGCTTCCTGTTCAGGCAAAGGCACCTCATACGCCCGTTACACGCTCATCAGCAGCTCGTTCCACGGTCGCTCGCTCGCCCACAGCGGAACGCACTCCACTGGGTCGTTCCATAGCAGGCGACTCGCCCATAAGACCGAGTCCCAGCTCCTTGACGCCAAACCGGTTGAGTCAAAGTGTTTCAGGCTCGCCAACCAGGGCTGCCACACCACGCTCGGTCGCTCGCACATCGCCAAGAAAAGCGGCACTGTCACAAAGCGTCGCGTGCTTCTCCGACACAACCTACCACGCCCCTTGTCCAGCGAGACAAACGGCCTCTGGCTCAGTCTGTCAGCACGCCCCGGAGCCCGCACTCGCCTGCGCGTTCCTTACGCACGCCACGCACACCGCGCACACCACAAACGCCGCGATCCACGCGAGCGCCCCGTGTGCCCAGCACGCCCCGAGCATCGCCGCCGAAGAGTTCAGCAAGCCCGTCTCTGGTGCCACATGGCGTCATGCCAACGCCCACAGAGGAACTGGAGCGAATGAGTGCAAAAATATGGGAACTTTTTGGCGAGAACGTGCGCTATGCAGCGCCTGGATGTACATCGGCCTCGTTCCCCGACACATTCAAAGTGTTGCGCGCGCTGGAGCAGGGAGCTCCGAACGATGCCGACACAGCTGGCATCACCGGGGATGCATCCAACCCGACGGTGCCGCCGAGCATAGGCACCATAATGATGGCACATGTCCTGCTCCTGCTCATGCGGTCGCAAGCACCTCACACACTCCCTTTGCCTATGATCAAAAGCTACAGCGATAATTGGTGGAAGCAAGAGGGTCAGGACCAGGTCCGTGCTGGTGTCGAGAAGCCAGCGACTCGGAATCCGCTCGTTCAACAGCTGGGGATCGATGCATCGGATCTCGAGCAGACCGGCGATGCACTGGCTACACGCGCCGTCTACGGCCTCGTTGCTAAGAAGATCCTGCGTATTCAGCGGGCGGGCGGTGCTGCCAATGTGCGCTTTGCCTAGCTAGGGCTCCAACACTTGGATACGTGGCTTGTGCAGCTGCTGGATCGGCTGGTCCATCTGAGAAATCACCCGGTTGGCGCTGCTGACGTGATCTGCTCGCAAGCGCTCGTCTTGTTCTTGCTCAAGCTTCAAAAGGTATGCCTGAACGTGCGCGTGCAAAGAAGCTGGATCGGCAGCTCCGTCCGCATGCAAACATTGTGCATAAAACTCGAGCTTCTTGGCCACTGGACGACTCTGTGGTCGCAAGAGCGCATGCATATCAGCCAACGCCCATGTGGTCCAACACCATGCCGGCTGGTCTAGCTCTTGTACCGCGCGTGGCGCTACAAGCTTGGCAACGAGCTGCAGTAGGCTTTCGAGCATTCGCAGCGGTTCAGGACCACTGCGCTCAATGCCAACGGCTTGGAGGAAGCACAGCGCCGCCTCCTCGGCAGAATCAAAGCACATGCGGCTATGCTTGGACGAAAAAAATGGAACCAATTTGAGCATCAGATGCGAGCAAGTCTTACGGTCTTCGTCCGTATCGAATGCCGCAAAGCTTTGGACGTCAAAGTACTGTAACAGGTACGCATAGACAAGACTGCACAAGTCAGTGCATGCGTGGGCCTTGATGGGGCCCGTCCACGTACCATAGATACATGAGATGAAATCGTAAATCCACTTGGGTTTCTGCGCGTGCAAGGCAAGCAAATGGGGTATAGGAAGACACGTGTTCCCAGGGACGTGCTCCATGTGTGCTGCTTATCCACCATGGCGACGAGACGTCTTGTGCATCTGTAAAGTAAATTTTTGCTGCCTGTTCTGGATGCCTTAGGAGCATCGCGAACCGGTCACGCTCCTTTATCGTGAGCATACGCAGAAGTTGGTCGACGGGTATATCTTCTGTAAGAGGGTGACCTGGTACACGTTTTCTGTTCTCCACGCTGACATTTTGGTCGTCGTCGTCGTCGTTGTCGTCGTCGTCTTCGTCAGCTCCATCATCTATGACGCCCTCTCCCGTCTCGAGTCGCCACAATAATTCCATGACCTTTTTCCGTTCAGCTTCATCGACACTCGTGTCTTCCGGTCTAAGATTCTCGCGCACTGTTCTTGCAGCAAAAGAAGGCGCACATGCGTGTGATGCACTTCGAAAGCATGTTGTCGAACAATACGGTGCTTGGCATGTGGGACAGGTGTAGGACGCTTCATTCGTCAAGCAACTATCATCGTTAGATATGGGTCTATGCGGAACGATTACGTACATGCCACACAGCCGGGAGCGGCCTTGTTTTGAAAGCACATCTGGCACATAACCCACGCTCTTATCACGTTGAATGGCTCTTCGAATATGGTACAGGTCCGACACAGACATGAGTGTGTGGAGGAGAAAGGATAGTCCAGTCACAACGTCAGACCCAACCCAACCCCCGCCAAAAAAAAAAAAGAGGAGTGAATGGATGGTATATTCGGGAGGGAGGTGGGAGGTGGTCGGGAAAGGGGGCATTTCTTTACTACTAGCCTATGATGCAGGCATCCAACGTGGACGGTACTGGACTTGGGGCTGCAATATAGCTGGTGCACTCTGAATGATCTTCAATTCTCGCATGCGCATGATCTGCACACGGTCTTCTACACTGGCTTTGTGCGCTGGGGCAAATGGATCAAGACCAAGTCGAGCGCCCTCTGCTTCCATCGTGGCGCGTGTGCGTGTCAGGACATGCTGGAGAGACGCTACTGCAAGCATCACTGCATGGCTTATAGGCAATGCGCATTCTTCTTTGCTTGAAGGAGGTATATCTGATAGCGGCGTACGCGCGGCCTCTGGCAATTCGTGCGCATGTTCGGCAAAACGTGCCAGGACGAGAGCAGCGAACAAATCACCCACGCCAGAAAAGTACTCGCCCTGCGATGGGAATGTAAGGAACCAGGGCGACAGATGACCTGTCCAAGACGAACCAACAAGGAGCATTGTCGGCTTTCCATCTGACATGGTCGGCTCGACACCAAGCTTGGCCAAGTCTGCAGGTGGAAGATCCAATGAAGTTATGACCACATGTGGCACCTTGTATACGGTATGAAGCTTCTCAAGCACTCGGTACAGCGAATCGAGACAAGTAATGTTCTCGTCAGCAAGCACCTGTGCCTCATACTGGTTCGGGCATATGATCGTCGAGAGCGGCAGCATGCGCCGGTACACTGGCAAGACGTCGGCATTTACATACATTCCACGATCCATATCTCCCATGACGGGGTCTAGCAAGTAAATCATGTCAGGCTTTTGCTCACGAAGTTTTCGGATAAACGATTCCACGGCGCACAGGGCTTCTGGCGACGGTGTATAGCCTGTGAGGACGCGATTCTGGCGCAAGAGCCCATTGCTTTCAATAGCTTCGAGCAGACCTGTGATATGAGCTGCATCCATTCGTTGACCACCCCATCGGCCATACCCCGTATGATTCGAAAATTGCACTGTGTTGACTGCGTCGACGTCCCAACCAAGCAGCTGAGACGGGAATGTGGCGGACCGATTTCCCACATATCCACAAGCAACGTGACTTTGGATCGTGAGCAGACGGTACGAGAGAGGCTCTTCCGCCTCGCCACTATGAATGTGTGTCATGGTCACCAGGCGTGATCCTGCGTGGATCCGGCCTGACCTGGTGTGTAAAGCTGTCCATTACATAATGGTACTTGGCCTCCAGCCACCCACCCCCCATTCCCTTCGATGTTGCTTACCTAAGATACGCACAGAAGCGTACGCCGCCTCAGCACCTGCTCTCAATCGATGTGGATTAGGAGAAAACGCGCTGCAGATGGACCAGCGTGGTTTTCGTCAGTTGCTTGCGTCCAGAAGTCATGAGCCCCGACGGGATGAATCCAACTACGCGGTGCACAATACCACTGACAGCGATGGGAGTGTATCTATGATGCAGCCACGAAGCGTGTTGTTGAATCGTTCAAGCGAGTCGCGGCAGGAACAATACAAGCAAATGCTGGGTGCCGAGGAAGCGGCATCTGGTCGCACCAAGGGGCTTGACTTTGCTCTCCTAGCAAAGCAAAAGGAACTCATGGCCCAGTCTAGTGAACCACAGGAGGTCGACTTGGACGCTGCTTTCATGGAGGGACAGCACACAGCCCAGGCCAACGCCAATGCCGAAGCGCAAGCGGCAGAGTATCGAGCCAAGTTTCGCAAAGTAGCTGCGCATCCAGAAGCACCTGATATCATCTATGTAAATGGAAAGCGGATGCGCAAGAAGAAAAAGAAGAGCCTGGATCCACAGCCTGTCTCGGAGCCTCGCCACAGCAATGCCGTGCCAGATGATGTGCCACCAGTAGATGAGAAACAGCGAGGTGAGAAGCGCGCATCACGGGATGAGCGAGTCACAGCGCCATCGTCCAGCGGTATCGATGCGTCGCAAGCCAATGAACCAACTCGGGCGTCGCAGTCCGCTGTGTCTACCGGGCACATGGACAAGAGCCGCTCTGGAGAAAGCGACGATGATGCAGCTGACATTTTCGATGATGCCGGCGTTTGGAATGGCTTGTCTTCCGATGATGAACACACGCCGGCGCCAACGAGCACTACGGACAAGGCATCTACTTCTCTGCATGGAACATGCACTGACTGGTTCAGACAGGGTACATCAACACGATCGGACCTGCCAGCGCAACCATCATCGTCTGATCCCGAAACCGATACGGTGCCCGCCCCCGACCAAAACGGCCCGAGCGTGCCGGCGTCAACCGCTGGCCCACAGCGTCTTCAGGGACTCAGTTCATCTGCGCTCCCATCCGAATGGAGCCGATGGCTTCTTGATCGAGAAGAAAAAAAGGCCCGCCATGCCAGTTCTGAGCAGGAGCAGGCCGTGTCAGCCCCACGCAAGCGACGACGCAGCCGTAAAGGCCGAGGTGATGGCGACAGTCCATAGCCCTTGGGAGAGATGATCATGATTGGGTGGATGTATGTGGGAAATATGGAAATAAAAATTTAAGGGGCTGCTGATACGCGACGCGGCACACGCGGCACGCGACGCGCGTGTCGCGCAATTTTGTGGGCATGGGCCCAGAGACGAGGCCCAGACACTCGCCTCCTACCACGAGAGCTCCTAGAAACGATGGCTTCTCGAGCAAAGAGGCTCGAGGCCTTGGCCGCCCTCAAGGCATCAAGACAGGGCGGTAGCCGCATTTATGTACGTTACAAATACCAGAAACTTGAATATATGAGAGCTAACATGCTCAGGCCGCACCGGATGACGATGCTGGCGGAGACATCTACGACGAAGTCACAGAAGACACATACCAGTCCATTGTCCGTGGCCGCATGATGGAAGACGACTTTATTGAGGACGATGACGGAAGTGGCTACGTTGATCATGGACAGGACGAGTGGGCGAATGAGCGTGCGAGTGAATCTGAGTCAGAAAGTGAGCATGAATACTACGAACGCACGGGCCGGAAAAAGCCTAGGAAAAAGTCTTCGAGGCGCGCGAATCGCAGCGTGCAAACAGACTATCTTGGATCATCGCGGCGCTCGGCGCCTGTACCTTCACATACAAAAGAGACGGAAGAAGCGTTTATGTCGAATCTATTTGGTGGTCTTGATCAATTGAGCACGCCATCCCGGCCCATGACGACACTGGTGCTGGACGATGCGCATGACTCGCCGTCACTTGCTATGGCACGCAAACGAAAGCAGCTTCATACCCCGACGACATTGCCTGCGCTTGTGCCAGACATGAGCTCGTCCACAGAGCCAAGCAGTGACACACTTGATGATTCGTGGCACGACATCCATACACAGGGAGGGCCCAAAAAGCTCAAGAGTGAGACGAACGACCAGCGGTCACCACCGCCTTCTCCTCCTCGACCTTCTCCTCCTCGGAATGCACCGTCTCACTCTTTGTCTACACCCGAGTCCATGGACGAAGATGATTTCGGCGTGATTTCCGTGGGCGCAAAGCGAGAAGTGCCTGTGGCACAGGATGATGCCATCAAAACCACCAAGATACCACCAGCTCGTCCACACAAGCCGCACGATGCGCCTGAGGAGCCGACATCGCATCTGCAAACGTGGCGCAGCGTACACGATGGCCTTGTAACCGAGTCCACGGAATCACCTGCTTCTCAGGTCGCAAGCTCAACGTACAGCGGCGTTGCCAAGAAAGTCGAGTGCTTTCAGGACGATCGCTCTGTGCACTTTTTTTGGATCGACTATTTCGACGCGAATGGCAAGATCTTCTTGTTCGGAAAAGTGCTTGACAGGGCTACGAACAAATACGTTAGTGCGAGCGTGGCCATCGATGGTATGGAGCGATGTGTATTTTTGCTTCCCCGCACACGCACCATTGTTGATGGACATGAGACGGATATGGTTCCCGGCGAGGATGATGTGTTTGAAGAGTTCGAGACCATGCGCTCTCGCTATGGCATCAAGTCCTGGCTCGGCAAATGGGTTAGGCGGAAGTATGCATTCGAGCTGCCAGACGTCCCAGCTGAGGGGCCGTACCTCAAGGTCAAGTACGGCTTTGATGAGCCCGCACTACCTGCGGACATATCTGGCGCGACATTTTCACGCGCATTTGGCACGCACACGTCGGCCTTTGAGCTGCTCGTGCTCAAGAGGCGTATCATGGGTCCGTGCTGGTTGCGTATAGAGCAAGCGTCTCTGCCGAGTGGTCCGCCAAGAACATGGACGAAGCTGGAGCTGGAGGTCGACGATCCAAAGAGCGTGTCGCCATTCTCCGACACCGATGCGAATGCACCGAAGGAGCCGCCGCCACTGACAATCATGAGCCTGGCACTCCGCACCGTCGTCAATTACAAGGAGAACAAGCGCGAGATCGTCGCTGTGAGTGCGCGTGTATGGCGGGACATGGCGCTGGAGAATCCGACGCCGCCCGAGCAGCTGCCGTCCAGCTCGTTTACGGCCGTACGGCCGCTGGGTGCGTCGTTCCCCCCGCGGTTCGAAGAGCAGGCGGCGCAGGGCAAAAACAAAATCAAGGCGTTCAAATTTGAACGCATGGTGCTGAACAGTCTGCTGGGCCAGATCCAGTGGCATGATGCCGACGTCATTCTGAGTCACGACTTTGTCGGCTCCACGATGGATACGCTTTTGCATCGAATGCGCGACTTGAAGTGCGAGAATTGGACGCGGCTCGGTCGTATGCGGCAGGACGTGTCGAAGATGGTGAAGCAGTCACTGCATGCGCTTCACACACGTATGCTCGTTGGTCGGCTTGTCGCGGATCTGTCGAGTGATACGGCGAAAGGCATGATTCCCTCGACGACATGGTCTCTAAGCGAGATGTGTCGGACGCATTTGAACGCACAGCGCGAGGACATCGATCCAGAGGATGTCGCGTCGTTTTTCGACTGCACGGCACCGACGCCTGAGCGCCTCCTCACGTTCGTGCGGCATTGTGAAGTCGATGCGTTCTTCCAGATGGCCATGGCTTGCAAGATGCAGCTGCTTGCTCTGACGAAGCAGCTAACGAACTTGGCCGGCAACGCCTGGTCCCGCACACTGAACGGCGGCCGTGCAGAGCGCAACGAGTACATTTTGCTGCATGAGTTCCACAAGAAAAAGTACATATGCCCCGACAAGCAGTCGATGTGGGACAAGAAGGCAGCGAAGAAGGAAGAAGGGAGCGCTAAGAAGGAAAAGTTCAAGGGCGGTCTTGTCTTTGAGCCGAAGCGGGGACTCTGGGACAAGTACATCCTGGTGATGGACTTCAACTCGCTGTACCCCAGCATCATTCAGGAATACAACATTGACTTTACGACTGTCGAGCGCCATGCCGACCAGGACGGCGACGATGTCCCTGATGTGCCGTCGTCTGATGTGGCCCAGGGTGTATTGCCGCACCTCATTGCGACGCTTGTGAATCGGCGGCGGCAAGTCAAGGCACTCATGAAAGACAAGCACGCTCCAGCGCTGAAACAGCTGCAGTGGAACATCAAGCAGCAGGCGCTCAAGCTCACGGCTAACAGTATGTATGGCTGTCTTGGCTATGAGAACTCGCGGTTCTACGCACGACCGCTCGCAGCACTCACGACCTTCAAAGGCCGAGAAATCCTGTCGACCACCCGCGAGCTGGCCGAAAGCATGTCGCTCGACGTGATTTACGGCGATACGGACAGTGTCATGATCAACACGCGTTGTATAGACTATCAAGCGGCCATCAAGATCGGCCACGAGTTCCGACGCGCAGTCAATGAGCGGTATCGGCTCCTGGAAATCGATATTGATGGCGTGTTTCAGCGCATGCTTCTGCTTCAAAAGAAAAAGTATGCTGCACTCTTGGTGAACGAGACAGGGGCAACGCAGACCGAAATCAAGGGCCTCGACATGAAGCGCCGCGAGTACTGCGCTCTGTCGAAGCGAGCGTCAGCATACGTGCTAGAGCAGATCCTTTCCGGCGAAGCGACCGAGACTGTGGTGGAAAAGATGCACGAGTACCTGCAGCAGCTCGCGACAGATGTGCGGGAAGGGCGTATTCCGCTAGACGACTATGTGATCTACAAACGTCTTGGCAAGCGGCCCCAGGACTATCCTGACGCGCAGAACCAGCCACACGTCCAGGTGGCATTGCGGATGCTCGCGAAGAACGAGACGGCGCGTAGTGGCGATGTGATCCCGTATGTCTTCTGCGTCGGCCCACAGACACCTAGCAGCAACGACAGCATCAACAACAGCAATCATAATAGTAACAACCACCACCATCATCAACACACGAAAGCGACGCAAGCGGAGCGTGCCTTCCATCCCGATGACGTTCGGCGACACATGGACGACCCTGCATATGCCATTGACTACAAGCACTATTTGTCACTGCAGATCCTCCCGCCCATTGAACGATTGGCCGACAGCATGGAAGGCACCGACCGCTCTCGACTCGCTGCTTGCTTGGGCCTCGATGTGCACACATACACGTCTTCGTCCCACGCGTCATCCGACTCGAGTCGTGAGTGGATGACCCTCGAGAGCCAGGTGCCGAGCAGTATTCGATACGCCCACTGTGATCCGCTCCGTGTTCGCTGCCGGCAGTGTGGTGCCGTCTCGGATGCGGTGCCGCTCGCGCACAGCGCACGAACGTCCGAGGGCGCTGCTCCGTGGCTCTCTTGTCCATCCTGCTCAACTGCATGGACCCTGCCGTCCCTGGTCGTGCAGTTGCAGCTCGCGATTCGTGCTCACATTGCACGGTATTACGAAGGCGTACAGACATGCACAGAACCGTCATGCCGTGCCTCATCGACCATGACGGGCGTGTATAGTGGGCGCTGTGTCGTGCCAGGGTGCCGCGGCAAAGTCCTCGCACAGTACCCGGACAAGGCGCTGTACACGCAGCTGTGTTACTACGCGTACCTGTTTGATTCGACGCAGGCTATGGCAGAGACAAGTGAAGCAGCACAGCATCTGCGTCTGCGAGACACCATCGATGCACGACGTGCCGACCTGGATGTATTGTATGCGACAGTGCAGCAGTACCTGGCGCGGAACGCCCGGCGGTTCGTCGGGCTGGATAAACTGTTTTCATTCATGCGTATGTAGATCTTTCGTACAAAGTAATGACTCGAGGCCGGGTATCTCGTAAGGCAGCGTAGCACGCCCCAGGGTATTTGACCGTAAGAGAGAGTCGATAGCATCGCGCTTTACCGAGCGGTAAATATCGAGCTCAAATGCAATGTCCGGGTCTGACGACATGGGTGGCAATGGCTTCGGCAGGGGCGGCGGTGGTGGTCGTGGCGGCGGTGCCTTTCGCTGCCAATCCACGTCCTTCCTCAACATAGCTTCGTTCCTGTCCTCCTCATCAACGTCGCGCCAGTCATCCGACATAGAAAGTGCCTCTCGTTCCTTCTCGCTCATAAACGAGCCAAACTTGAGCTGTCTGTGAAGCGCACGGAGCGAGCCCCGATCTTTAATCACCCGAATCTTGTCATTTGCACGTCCCAGGTAGATCTCGTCTTGGTCCTCCAAGTGTGCGTCCTTGAATCGCTCATAGATACTTTCCCACTTGAGGCGCAGTCGCTCCGCCGACTCGAAGCGTGCCAGCTCTAGAGAACCAGCATCCTCGTCATCTGCCTCTGGCGCCTGGACCAGTGGGAACTGGGGGCGTGGCCGCGGTGGAAACGTCAGTGGTCGATCGCTTCCAAACACAGGCTTGCGTCGCGGTGGTGACGGCGGAAGCGATGGTACCGACCGGCTTGTGCCTAGCCCTAGCGACTGCTGCAGAAACGCATTGTCGCATGGCTGAGACATGCTCGATGGAGAACGAACGCGCAACGCGTCGAGGCTGCAGTAACAATGGTTTACACGCTCGTCGGCCGACGCCCACCACTCGACCAACTTTTCTGGTCAGAGCGCGCGACCTGTTGTCTCCACCAACGTCGCGAACGTCTCGTTCCCTGCTTTGGTGTGGTGTCGCATCGCTTTGCGCTGCTCGTGATGCGCAAAGAACGAAGAGAGGTGCTGAGTGTGGTATGTGGACACTTGCACTCATGTCAGTTGCAACGACTGCTGGCCATGTGCCATGTCTACGTGTACTTGCTGGATGGGCTCCTCATCCTGCTTATAGTACGGATGCTGCTGTTATTTGTACGTGCTTTTGCTTGTGTGGGTCCTAACGCCTAAGCGGTTTTGTACGTGTAGATTCGAGGGCTCACTCAGTGCGCCCGTATTTGCTCCCGACGCATCGCCCTATTCAGTCGCACCTGCAATTCGTCACAGGATTTCAACTGTTTTGTGGCGTGGTGCAATGCCTCTCCGACACGAATCCGTCCCGACATCGTCTCATGTTTGATTTTATCGGTCAAGGTATGCTCTGCGTGCACTCCCAGCCGACCTTTTCGCTTACACCACCACAGACTACATTGTATCTAAATGGCACTTGCTATACCTTGATGCGGTCATCTGGTTCCTGCATGTGATCCTGCTATCTATTTCCTATGAGGAGTCTGTTCGTTTGATTGATCCAGATCATGTAAATATGCTGAACATTACCCCGGAGGAGCGGAATGTTGCGGCCCATATCATGGCGTCTTGCACTGGAGAGCGTGGACATGTGCCAGACAACGATGCCGAACCATTGCTTCCTTCGACCAACACAACGAAATCGTGCTATTCCGTGTTACCACCAATTTCGGAGCCTGTCCTTGTAGTACGATGGAGTGAGCTATGGCGCAGACATGATACCAACGACGACAATGTATCAACACCCCCGCTCTAATTGGCCCGTATCATGAACGAACGACATTCCCATTCGACTCTCCGCGCGCACATCACCCGCATCGTGTTTCCATGCATAATAATATACCCACATACCCTGTGAATCCAAGCCTCTATGAATGTAGGAATGCTTCAAAACAGACATATCAACTTTTCGATATGGCCGATCTGCACAAACCCTTCGTCTTCCCTGCTAGTTTAAGTACACTGCTCATGCACAGGAGCAGAGACTAGATAATGAACAGGGTGTTGCAGCCCACAATGTCTTGTGTATGTTCTCAAGCGAGGACAGCTGCCGCGCTTGGACGCAATCCAGCAAGCACGCATATGCACACACACTCTCTTGTCCCTCTCACATAAACAGACACACATTTCTCCGTACACAACGACACGGGATCACAGATTTCCAAAGAATCGTGTGCATTCCTACACACAGGACACGCCAACAGCCATGCGCCAGCGCACTCATGGCCAGCACTCAGCATGGACATGCATTTTCAGTTCACTCTAACGTGATATGAGAATCATGGTTTCTAGCAAGGCATCGATAGGTATTATCATACATGCCATTCGTAGCCACCCACGAAATAGACATTTTAGACTGACGTTAGATACACTAAGAGCCAATGCTTCGTTCAACTTACTGTTGCTTGGGTACAGGAGCACACGCACCGAGGCGCCAAATGCAGCCGGGGGAATGTTGTTGCGGAACTTCGAGCGCACAACACCGTTGTTGCCGTGCGTCCGGGTAACACGACCCCAGATCACACGGTACTTCTGGCCACGGGTCTCGTTAGGGGCCTTGTAGATGTAGGCAATACGCTGCCGGTTAGAACATACTCTGTCCAAGAAAGTCCTTCCCCGATCTCATACATACCTTGCCAAGGTAGAACTGGGCGTCCTTGGTGTTTTCGACACCCTCAATCTTGACCAACGTCACGTTGGGGTGCATCGTGCGCTTGCCGCGCCTGTGACTCATGATCCTGCCCTTGCTGTAAAGACGCGTCTACGACAAGTTAGCATGCCATTCACAAGCACACTCATACAGCAAAAGTGCGCGATAACCACAAAGCCTAGTGTAGGCACGCAGCACACACTCTATGCTGCTTAACCACGTACCATCTTTCTGCTTCCAAGGAGGTGGTGAGGATCGATTGCTTGGACGACGACATTGTCCTCAGGGCACCGAGATGAAATACACGTGACATGAATCTAGAACTATAGTATCGTCATCACGTGCTCTGGAATGAACGTGTGGAGGGAAGTAGGCGGCGTCGCCATCAAATGTACGAACAGCTGGAGGTGAGTTGGAGGGACCCAGCTCAAGTCCCATTCGAGTGGGTGGGGCCTGTGCGTGAAACAAAAATAAAAAATTTGGTGCGCAACAAAAAGTCCGTGAGCTTTGCGGTACGCATCTTATCCACCTGGCACGGCTCTCGGTGAGGTAACATGGGGCAAATTCATCGCAAAAAACGCAATCACCATGCACGTCGAGGTATGTCATGGTAATAAAATGATGTAAATCACTCGTAACGCAAGCTAACTGTCCATTAGATGTATCACGAGCGGCTCGAACTCGAGCGCGCAAACTCGATTACGATCAACGTCATGAGAATGCTACAGACGAAGCGAAGCGGCAATCGTTAGAAGCTCCTACTGAGCTGGACCCTGAAAAGGCCGGTCTCGGCATGTTTTATTGTGTGGAGTGTGACCGACATTTTCCCAACATGAATGACCGAAACGCACACGTTGCTAGCAAGCAGCATAAACGTATTGCTAAAAAAGTGTTGACAGAAAAGCCCTACACCCATGAAGAGGCACTTCGTGGCGCTGGCATTGGTGTCGATCATCGCCAACGCAATTCTGACAAGATCGAAACGGAGCTGTAACTTATACCCCACCCTCCAAGTGATTGTACTTTTTTAACTATGTCTATCATGCAATAGCATGTCTCTGTATTGTGCAAACCATGTGAATAATGTACGAATAAATACAGGTCTCTGCGTGCGTGCGTCTTCTACTGCCATACCCAGGCGCTGATGAGCTAACGCCTCTGGGACGTGTGCTCGGGTCACGTGCTCTATCGTACCCCACCCTGAAGCGAGCCTAGGCTCGACGGACTTGCATAAGTCTTGGCAATCGGTTATAGTACAAAACGCACAGATCGCCTTCGTCCATTTGCGTCTATTGTATGCCGGGTAAACACGCTGTTGTCGTAGGTGCAGGTGGTACGTAAATCCATACGCATCGATCTAATTTCTCTAGTTCTTGGTCTCACCAGTGCTAGGTACTTGCGCGAGAAAGGTTACACTGTCACGATTCTAGCTCGTGAGCTCCCTCACGATACCACGTCCCAATCCTTCGCCTCTCCATGGGCTGGTGCAAACTGGTGCTCATTTGCGCGTGGCAACGAAAATGAGAAACGTCGCGACGCTTACACGTACAAGCAGTTCCAGGAACTAGCCAAGGAGCTACCCGAGGATATGCTTGCATTTATGCCTTTTACATGTTATGACGTGAAACCGAACGACAGTGAGACGTACTGGTTCCACAAGGAATGTGGTGGCGTACGTATGCATTGACTTACCATAAAGATACAAGAATCCTTTGTGAGACACCCAGCCACAAAAGAAGCACCGTATGCGTACAAATTCCGATCCCTAACACTGGATGCACCGAGATACTTGCACTGGCTTGCAGCGCAGCTTAGGGAAACTGATTCACGCAAGCCACCAGCGAGACTCATTCGTGTGTCTACACTACCCTCTTTGCAGTCCGCTGCTGCCTTGGTTCCGGACGCGAGCCTTGTTGTGAATGCCACAGGGTTAGGAAGTCAGGATATGCCGGAGGCGTCAGAATCACTCGCATATCCTATTCGGGGACAGACGGTACTGGTGCATGCACCACGCTTCCGTGACATGGATACGGCTCATTGTATAAGCAAGATTGGCTCAGGCGGTGCATCTTACGTCATTCCTCGTGCACGGAGTGGATTCGTCATTTTGGGCGGCACGTTCCATGCGCGAGTGTCAAACCCCCTCACTCCTGACCCTGCTGTGACAGAGCGTATTTTAAAGGATGCCGTCCTCCTGGCACCTGAACTTCTGCCAGAGAACGTGGACGCACATGATCCGAATGCGTGGAAATCCGTCGAGGTCGTGGGAGTGAATATCGGCGTCAGACCTGCGCGTGAGGGTGGGGCTCGTGTCGAACTTGACTCCAAGCCAGTCTACGTCGGCCATCGCCCAGTGGGTGTTATTCACGCGTATGGTATAGGTATGTGTATTTCCGTATTCAGCCAGAAACCTTTCTTACATCTTCTACAGGACCGGCGGGCTACCAAGCAAGTCACGGTATAGCCGCTGAAGTATGTGACTTGGCTGAAAAATGGGAGAGTATCTGCTCTTCTGATGCTGGCGCTCGGGCCAAGCTATAAGCCGCACCGCGTGCAGACTTGACGTCGAAAACAATCGTTGCAAACAAGGGTTTTCCAACCATGTCAGGCCAGAGCCTTGCGAACGCGCGCGTTAGGTTGTTGTTAGTCACGTGCAAAACATTTTTTTTTCTGCCGTCGTGGAAGACTTTAAAAAGGGCCACAGGCTAATGATAGCGTCTTCCTTTACCGCTCCGGTGTGCAGAGGGGTCCCTCGTAGGAACTCTCGCACACATTCCACTGATGGGATGCGCCAGCTGTATGGCACTCGCGAGCCTTAGCGGGCAAGTGAGATTGTGCGTAGACCGGTTGGCGGATGCGGAAAACGACTAGCCTACAGAGGCCTTGCTTGCTCTGCCCTCTTGCCTGTTCATAAGAAAGATCAAGTTCACGTTTGCAGGATGGGAGTCTGCTATTGATCGCCCGTTTGGTGCTGGTCTGGCAGCTCTTGTCTGAGTGTCTTGGAGCACTGCTTGTGAGTCGGAGTGGGTATCACCAAGGGTATCTGTAGGGTTCTAGGGCACCCTAATTTCATGGCCTAGGGAAGAGCTGCTATGCGGCTATGTTCTGTCGGGTCACAACCTAGGGCTGTCACAAGTCAGTCAGGTCGAACAGGTCAATTGTGCTTGTCTCTATGGTAATTTTAGATGTCGATATGCATAATATAGGTTGTCAGCAGAAACAGAAACAAACAATAGTGCAACGTGCAGACCTGTATCGGCGATGCATATTATGTAGCCAGACGAGCTGCAGTAGCGTCGCGCTTTGCCTTGAGCAGAGCCAATTTCTCCTCCTTCGAGGCGTCGTAGCTGACATGGAACTGGTTAAACGGATTCTCGCGAGACTTTTGGAAGCTCTTGAACAACGCTTCTTGGTACTGCTGGAAGCGTAGACCCGGCCGTTCTTCCTTCAGCTTTGGCAATTCCCGCTCCTTGTACGCTTCAAAGGCTGCCTTGAATCGTCGCTCAGGGTGCTTCTCAATACTTCCAGCGGCTGCGCCACGGCTGGCCTTATCTGACCTTTCATTCACCAGTTCCATGGCATCGAGAGCATCATCGAGACTGGTGGCATTGAATGCGGCAATTTGCATGTCAAGATCGTCCAATTCACTGCTGCGGCCTGCACCTTTACCTCCGCCTCCGGCAGATCGGCCACCCCCGATTTTGCCGCCAGTGCCCTTGGTCTTGCCGGGAGTGTTGGCATCGTCTTCAGCCTTCAGACGATCAAGCTCCGCCTTTTTCCGTGCCTTCTCAGCAGCCTTCTCATTCCGCGCATCAGCGGCCGACTTGCCCTTAGCACCTTGCTGCCACTTAGCTTCTTCCGCGGCTTCGGCTGCAGCTTCAGCTTCGGCTGCCTTGCGCTCGGCAGCTTCGGCCTTACGCGCACGGCCCGCAACGGCTTTTGCATTCACTTCCTGTTAGCAGACTAATTCGTCGTTAATTCTTCGCGTACTTTTAGGCGCCATGCTGCTGTTGTTCGATGGCTGGTTTAGATGGAGAAGCCTAGATGTGACTCGACCCCATCTTTTGGTCATTGATCGGCCGTGCACTCAATGACTAGGACAAACGTGTGTGAATATGCAATTATTTTTGTGTCAAGGTGGCAAAATGTGCTGTTGGCTGGACAGGCAGTGGGAAACGCCGCCTGGAGATTTGTAGGCGCATTGGCAGCCATCGCGAATTGATTTGCTCGTGCACAAACCATACATATATGGCTTCGGCACTGAAGGGAGTCATTGATGAATCATCTGCAGCTGCCGAGCCCGTCAAGCAAGCACGGTTCATATTAGCGCGTATTCAACAGCTGAATGTTCTTCGTGAGAAGCCACGATCAACATGGGATCTTGGAGCCTTGAATGCAGAAGATCACCACGCTTTGATACGCGCCGCCAATGATGCAGAGGGTGTAGCAGTGGTCGATGGGCAGGTGGCAAAATTGAAAGAGCGTATAACTGAGCTCAAGTTTCAGTTCGGTGAGCAGATGAAGCATGCTTTCCAGGCATCCATGCAAAGCATGTTCCCCTCAACGGATAATGTAGCAGCATCAAGCGGTCGGATCAACGAAGAGCGTCAGGTCCTCAATGAAGAAGGGCTCCCATTCGTCGACCCACTTGAATCGCTTCCTGACTCACCGCCTCAGACGCCACGATGGGATACTGAGCAACCACCGCCCCCCACAGGCAATGTATTAGGACGCGTGCCTGGACATATTGTGCCATTTGACCCCTCATTACAAGGCGATGAGCGGAAAAAATGGATGAACTCTGTGATGGATCAGCTCGAAGAAGAGGAGCGAGCAGAACAGGCAAAGTTGGATGAACAGCAACAACAAAGGCAAGAGACCAATCGGTCGGCTCTTAAGCTGCGGCGTGGGTTCCTTCAGTCAGATGCGCATCGACCAAAGAAACACGTCCGAATTGCAGCGCCCAGTGATGACAGCGATGAATCGGAACCTGTTAGTAAGGCCAAGAAAGTGCCGCCTGGAATGGACCCCGAGGATGTCGGTGTACAGGAAGAAGCCGCACGGATCGTGGAGCTTTTAGGGCCTGAGGTGATCCAGGGTCATCCCAATGCGGAGCGAATTTTTGCCGAGATGGAGGCCTCTCACCCAAAAGTCATTCAGAAACCTGCTCCAGCACCTTCGTCGGATGCGTCAAAGCCAGCTATCGGTGAAACGGTCCTTGAACGATCAGCCGAGGCAGAGACAAAGCGAACACCATCAGTAGGAGCAAAGCGGAAGCCTAGTGCATTCAAGCAGCGCCAACAATTGCAGAAGCAAGCTCAGGAACAGATACCCACAGCGCCGACAGTGTCGCAAGGCATTTCGGCAATTGAACGTGCTGGGCGAGTCGAGGACGAATTGGGCCAAGAGCGGAGTAAGCAAGGTCTTCCACCACGCGTTCCACATGCGAGGCCAACAAAAGCTTATGCTGCTAAATTAGCACAGCGTGCAGTGCAGGCATCCGAGCAAAAGGACGACATTGATGACGAAATAGTCGAAAAGCCTGGTCGACGGGTCCGTTTCGGAGGTGAGGAAGTTTTGAATAACGATGAAAGCGAGCAGCCTATGGATCAAGATGAGGAGGAAGAGGAGGACCATCACGATGAGTCAGACGAGCTCGATCTGGACGATGACTACGATGCTGACATGTGGGAGTCAGAAGACGAATCGCTTTGGGATAGTGATGACCAGTACGGTGCAGAGGACCTTGAAGCACTCAAGCCAACGATGCAAGGACATCCGGGCGACGAGTATTGGACAGAAGAACTAGCTCGGGAGTATGCAGAAGCGAAAGCACGTCTTTCGTTGCATCCTCGTATGCCGCAAAGTGCCCATGATGATCATGGTGATGCACAGGAGTCGTATGGCATCGCACCGCTGTCAGCGAGCGTGTCTGATTCGCACTCACATCCATCATCACAAGAACGCCCACGGGTCTCGCGATTCAAGGCCGCTCGAATGATGGGGGAGTCCGTGCCAGATCCAAACGGACACTACCACTATCCCTCGGCGGAAGTACCGGCAGCCGAAGTGGCCGGGCATGAATTGACACATACACTGCATGAGTCAAATGTTTCACAAAACTCGCATGGTTCGCAGCCCATCATGGTGCTCCCGTCCCTCGCCCCAGTACGATTTCCACGGCCAGTGTCAGACCAACGCGAAGGTTCAGGCTTGGGCTTCGATCTTGACGGCGAAAGTGACGAAGATGACGAGCGCTTGCACGCGTTAATGCGAGCAAGACTCTCTATGCATGACGAGGAAGAAAATGGCCTGGGATCTACACAACCGCCCCCACGAGCATCTCAACGACCGCCCCATGTGGGGCATGCGAAATAGACGTATACAGATACCCACTTCTTTTATCCTATTTTACGCCTAGCACTGCACAAAAAAAGACGCTATGACAACGATGGATGCATAGCCAGCGGTTCATATCCTTGGCGGAGCAGTTCCTTTTCGCGTTCTAGCGCATTGAGATCAATCTTGTCAAAGAGACGAGATCGAGGCTCGCTGGGTGGTCTTGGAAGTTGTTCGTGTGCTTGGAGAACGACTCCGACGTATCGACGCTCACGTTTCTTTGAAGAGGGATGAGGTCGTACAGATTCACAGTTTTTTGCATGCACTGTTGTCCGTTCAGGCAAGCGCAACGGAAGACCACGTAGTGATTGAGCTGGAGGTTTGGGACCATCAGGAGGAAGTGGCTTGTAGAAATGCACAAAGCCTGGCACTGTAGCATAGAGTGTATGATCACGGCCCATGCGCACATGCTCGCCAGGATGCCACTCTGTGCCACGTTGGCGTACGATGATATTGCCCGGCACAACGGCGGTAGAACCAGCCCGCTTTACACCGAGACGGCGACCAGCACTGTTTCGGTTGTTCTTTGTCGTACCGCCACCACGTTTCGCCGAGTTTCGTGTCTGAACCGAGCCACCAAATGCAAATGTCGGGAGGGCTGTAAGAGTAGTGCCAGCCAAACTAGTCCGAGTGAGTGCTACGGACGGTAGTAAAGCTGTCTGCACAGGCGAAGCGACGCGCAACGATGCACTTTGCACGGCACTAAGTGCGCCGTGAAATAGAAATGGGCGCATCACGCAGTGTTATTGTGTAGGAAGACAATTGACCAAGAACAAGAAGAACAAACGAACGATGTCGCCAGTGTATTTCTAAGCACTTCTGACCAGTCAGTCTGCGCTAGACTTCGCCCTCAGCGCTCAAGGTTCACAACAAGGGGCCTGAGGCGCGAACCTGAGTTGAGGCCTATCTTACTGCGCCTGGATGACTGGAAATATGTGAGTGAGAGGCAGGTCATCGTCACGTGACAGATGCACAACGAAGGCTTCGTCGCCACCTCCCAAGATGGGATTGAGAAAGTTCTTGTTTCGACCTTGGTGACAAGCATTCGTGTGAAGCTAGCCGCCACAGTATGGTCTGGCCATTTTCCTCCACGACGAATGAGAGCCAGCAGCCCGCGGCTACGCAAACTGCAGCATCACATTCTGGGGATGCAACTGAATACCTTCGCACGCATTCGTTCGACAAGAGCTCTGGCGGCATGTCGACAACGACGCCTGAGGATGCGCCAACGGCAGCAGGACTGCTGCGTAACACGGCGTTGGACCCTGCCAGGTTACACCCATTTGCAGATATTAAGGATGACCTAGAGTACCTGGATATTGAAGACGACAGGCCCAACACGATTCAGGGCGCACGCACGGCACTCCCATCGCGTGGCTGGAGTGACGATCTTTGCTACGGTACTGGCACGACATATCTGGGTGGCTTGTCTGTAGGAGCTCTGATTGGATTGCGTGAAGGATTGACCCGTCCCCTTGGCATTGATTCGCCGACATTCCGTCTGCGCATGAATGCTATACTAAACCAGGTCACACGCCGCGGCACGTTCCTTGGCAACAGTGCAGGTGTGATCGCTCTGACGTACAATATCTTTGACGCAACTATTGATGCGGTGCGTGGCGAGCATGATATCTATGGCAGTGTGGCATCTGGCGCACTGAGTGGGGCCTTATTCCGTTGCACATGTACGTTGCTAATTTTTTGCGCGTTGCAAAAGAACTTCCACATCAATCTTTTCGGCATGTTACTGACGCTAAAACAACAGCGGGTCCACGAGCTATGCTTGTGTCGAGCACTATCATGATGGGTGTCGCCGCGACCTGGACGATGGCGAAGAAAGCTTTCTTGTAGGATGAAAGAAAAGAGTATACTTCCTTTAGGGACGCACGCTGAGCTTGGAAAACAGTTGGAAAAGGCTCGCACTTGACTTAGGGTATTGACCCTGAGCAAGATTTTCCACAATAGGCACAAAGTCCGGACGCGTCTTCACTTCCTCCCAGTGCTGGGTAATGAAGTCGAGATGGACTCGCTGCACGTCGCTAAAGCGATCGCCAAATGGCGAGAGCAAATCAGCGAGCACAGAGCGGACTGATAAGTTCATGGAAATATGCTCGAAGGCCCGGACAGCCAGGTCGTGAAGATCGAGCTGCTTGCCCAGGCAGTACGCTGCTTTGTTCGAGAAAGCAGGTGGCCATAATGCAGGGTTTTGCTTTGAGCCGTTGCCGAGGTGGCTTAGTGCCTCCTCGTGCAGTGAATTCTTGTGTCCGTGTGGCGGCATGTGGGGAATGGAAACAAAGTGGACCTGATTTGTGTACATATAGAACAATAACGCTTGTAGCGTGCGCGGCGATACACCTTTGACCAAGACGCGACGCACACCTGGCATACGTGGGGGCATAGGCGCAGGGCGAATACGGGCAGAATCACGCTGAGGCTGGGATGACGCGATAGAAGCACCTCCAGGGCGTGCAGAACCTGTCTGACGCGCACGAGGCGTCACTGCACCGAGTGGCACAGGCGCAGGCGTCTTGTCCACCTGCCCGGGGGGGGACTGGGTTGTAGCAAGAATCGGCAAAGGCTTTGCCACGGGGGCAGTCTCAGGATGAGAGGGGGAGAGTTGATTCAAACGAGTCCCGCCGACCTCTTCATGGGGCGGTGGTTCATCAGAATCCTTCTTCTTTCTTAAATTCTTAAAGAAAGATGCACCACCGCGGAATTCAAGACCGCGACGGGAAGATGGGGTGAACGCTGACGTTGGTATTGCTGACGTGGGTGCCGGGTCCTTCGGAAGCGGACCGTTCAAAGAGGATTCAGATGAAAGCGTATGAAGACTCGGGCCCAGAGGTGTAGTTGGCGAATTTCCCAGCATGGACGAGGGGATATTCGAGCCACTCTTTCCAAGAGGTCCCTGTCCCAGGCCACGCGCAATGCCAGGTGACGGCGGATCCAGCGTGCTAGTAGATGGAGGGCCGCGTGCTCTGGGCATAGAAATGATCGACTCTTCCTCAATTGTATCATCATCATCGTCTGTTTCAGCATCCTCGAACTCTTCCTCCCCCACAGCACTAGGTGCAAGACTAGTGGACACGGACGATGTGTCACTAAGAGTTACCGCATCTGACTGACTCGGAAGGTAATAGCTCTCCATAGAATCCAGGCTGATGTTGCCGTGCTTCTGGATCACTGCATGTCAGATTCATATGAAAATGGAAACATACTCTTAAACAATACTGGACACGACTGCTTGATCACATGCGAGTGACCAAAAAGCGATTCATCCTTGCCCTGGTGGCGAACAATAAACTCTGTGTCGAAGAACGGAGTGCCACAAATGCTGGCAGAAATAGCGTCTAGCGCTACATAGCTCACAGACGCCAACTTGACTTCAGAACTCCGTTGAGGGTGCAACATGCCCTTGCTCTTAGATCCTCGCGGCTGCATGCGTGGCTGAAAGGTAAGGAAGTTGATCTAAGTGTTCCCAACACATCAGTTGCCGGCCTGGGATTTGTTTGGTCAGCGCGACGACATGTCTGGCACGCGGAACGTACGCGCGTGAATCTCATCAGAGCCAATGATCTTCCATCCTCTCAGGTATGCGAAATCGCTCCTCATCGACCTCCACACCCCAACCCCATACCTATCATCAATGGTGTTGGGATTCGCCAATGCGCCGCTGACGAAAGGTACTGCCTATTGTGATACTAACGGTAGTGGCCATTGCATCCTTTTGTTTAGGCTCATTATTTGTATCGCTGCTAGATGCGAAGGTGTACTTACCTTTGCGGCTCGACCCACACATATTGGTCTATCGCCAGGTATGTGCTTCTACGACTTATCTGTGATTCTCCTTAGTATTGGCAAGCTATTCTATATCATGTGGCATTCACGAACAGTTCTGAGCTTTTCTTAGGCTCTCTCATCCTTTATCATGGAGCTCGTCAGGTCGAGCGTGCTACAGGCTCACGAAAATTCGCCGTACGTACGAGTACCCAGACGAATTGCTTCTGACAAAAAAAAAATCTTGCTTTAGGTTTTTCTCGGATGCATGGCTCTAATGCATTCTGTCTTATCACTAGTATATGCGTTTGCGATCACGAATGCTGTACACCTCCTCTCTTCCTCCACAACTTATGCATTCTCTGAGCAATTTCGTTCAGGCTATCTGCCAGCCGGACCTTTTGGCATCCTGGGGGCGTTAGTGTATCAGTACTATGCATTATGTCCTCCGCTTTGGACAATTGGGGTTCTTGATGCGGAAATGACTGACAGAATGCTAGTCGGCATTCCGATGATCCTTGTACGTGGCAGCATGCGCACTGACCACTTTTTTCTAATGACAGCTTGCGACATCTCAACCGCCATTTTCCTGCTTCTCTGTTCTGCTTGGTCTACTCGCATCGAGGATGTATTCTCTCACATGGCCGCTACAAGTCCCTGTGCGCATCGCCGGAACTGTTCAGCGCGCTTGTCGACCTCTTATTGGTACCGATTCCCTACCTATGCGTGCATCGCATGCACAGTATCGCGAAAGTCGATCAAGGCGTTGAGATCGCGTGATCACGTGCTTCCTTGACACATATCCGTGTTGGGCTCCACCACCAAGAGACGCGAGTCAGAGTTGATCAACTACCGGATTTGGTCTGTGAGCGTGTCAGAAGTGACGGAGATATCATCATGCTATGTTTGTGCCAGAAGCACTTCGTACACGATTTTGGCCCAAATTCTCTGATAGAGCGCAAGATCGCAAGTATATACCAGCGCATGTACAATATGTGATGATCTTTTCGCCTGTGTTGACTGAACATTTAGGAGCTGAGGACCCTGGGCGACTCATAGGTCAGCAACTATTTTATACGAGCATGGAGAATGCGGTCTCGAAAGTCCAGACGGTCCGGGAGATTGCCCTAGCAAATGCGCTGATCGACTTTTCAACGTCGATGCAGCACCACTGCGGGCAAGAGTCGGAAGAACTGCGAAAGTTGGCTGTACAGTCAGCTGAACGAAGACTGTACTTAGTGGAAGTCTTTCCTGATATGTGGCTTCATGCTTCCGTGGCATTAGCGCGCTGGAATTTGAAAAACGACGGCGACAAGCTTATGCCATGGCTCGTGGATGCCTGGATGCATCAACAGATGGAGGATGCTTGGCATGGCTGGCGCCTTCAGTACGGACCACCGCATGTGCTGTTTCTTGACCAAGGTCGAGAAGTCCTCGAGAAATGTTTGGAGTCTTACTTCTCAAAATGGACATGGCAATGGAATGTGGACGTGCAATATGCGCCTGTTCTACGTGCATCTGAGCCGGCCAGTGTCAAGTCAGGCTTGGTAGGTGAAACGTTGCCGACTCTTGAGGCTGTTGGAGATGTTTCCATGAACGAGCTAGCTCCCCTATTAGCACAGTTTGCTGCTGAGGGAAGCACGATTGATACTGCTCCACCTATGGACGTCATGCTTTTGTATGACGATAAAATGCTATGGCCTAGGCCACATAGTCAAACAGCGGCTCACACAGACCTTCTTAGTCCGCCAGATCGACGGCAGGTGGCGCGCTATGTTCTGGAACGACTTGTTGGGTTGACATCCGCACGAGCGAAAGCGGACATGGCTTTTGCCAAACGGACCAAGAAGCCCAATTCCACTCATCCGTCTGGAAGCCAAGGCATAATGAACGACCTTTCTTTTATGGCCAACATGTTGGGTGATTTACCTTCCTTCATGAGCCTAGATTCCATGTGGCACAGCTCCGATCCAGCCGCATCGATGTCGGCGTCTGGTCCATCTCACGACACAGCACCGGCTCCCCCAGCTGAGTCTCCATATGCACCAGAAGAGCAAATTCTAAACTATGCAAAATCCCCAGCTGATGATCAGAAGACAGCAAAGCTCCCGCGTTTGTCGCCACGAATATACCCCGTACAAGCAAATGAGTCTGTGACTATGCCTGCGTCATCATCCATGCCAAAGACGAAAGGCACAAGCTCTGCCTTCCAGGCATTCCATGAGCGCTTAGAACAGGCGTTAGGACAACATGATTTATCAACAGAAACGAATGGCATTACAGTGCCCCCTTCCGATGATGCAGCGCGACAGCTCGAAGAGATCACACAGACTTTTGCGAAATCGTCAGCTCCGACTCGACGGCGTGCACGTTTGCAACGGCATGAATCTGATAACATGCGCGACACGTCTCGCCGTGCTACGTCTTGGTATGCATCGCATCAGGCAACAGGGACTATGCCAGACGTGAATGAACTTCATGACTACTCTATGGATGGTTGGGGTCCAGAAACGCCAGCTCCGTGGCGCCATGCAAGTCTGCACGTGAATGCCCAAGATGCAGAACCATTGACAACAACACCAACAACAAATTCATCCGTAATCGACATCGTGTATATGACAAGACAGCTACTTACGGTTGTATTGGTGTGGCGACAAGATCAGATCCAAGCTGGTGAGCATGGTGTATGGCAGCTACCTGCTTGGGACTTGCTTCGTCGTGTTCAGCGTATACTAAACGATGCGCGTCGGCGAGCGGATGGGAAAGAAACGCCTGCCACAAGTTTTCTTCACGTGGATGCAACATCAGCATTGTGCATCAATGAGCTAACAGGGCCTCAACATAAGCACCAAAAGACTTTCCCCTCCGCCGCTGCTACTGCTGTCCCTGTCCCCTTGTCATCAGGCACAGAAGCCCAACTGCTCACAGCCAAGGATTGGATGAAATGTCATGGCATACGAGAGACTCTTGCGCACGCAGACAACCATTCCTTTTGGGTAGCATCACGCGCATCTCAAGACGGCATGTCCAGCACATTCATGACACTGGAGGGCGACGCACAGCGGCGGTATGGCGTTTCTGAATGCGACCATCAACTTCGCCGCTTGGCAGCGCAGCATAGCGAGTTTGGCCTTTAGGAATGCTGCTTAAGGTGCGCACGAAGCTTGGAGAGCCACGTGTCCTTGAGCTTCATCGGACCTTGACCCGCGACACAGAAACGGTACATGTCGTTGCGCTCGTAGGACGTAGGGATCAAACGCGCGTCAGTAAAAGCGACAGAGCCGAGGATGTCTTCCGTATGTGTCGTTCGGCCAGGCATAACTTCGCTACGCATGTCGCCTAAATGCGCCCATCCGTCGCCCCTCAAGTAAGCTTCCGTGCGCAGTTGCTCGTCGTCGGCAATAGCCTCTTTAAGCGCGTCGTGCAATGCGTTCCAGAATGCGGCATTCATTTGCGACGCATCTGGGTTGTCACGCAAAAACTGACTTGGATTTCCTGTCACTTCCGAGAGAATGCCAATTACTTCGGGACTTGACTCAGACGATGGTGTCCGCTCGAGCAGAGACAGGGCCCACTTGGACTCTGAAAGCGGATGGTAGTACAGCCCTGTCTCCCTATCTGGATCTCTGTGCATCTGCGCATACATTCTTACAAAGGCAGAGGATCCAATGCGAGACCTATGCGCAATGCGCAGGGCAGGAATAGCAGCACGGCTTGGCCATAGCATGACTGTGAAGACACAGCACGAAATACTGGGAGAACAAGAACTCAGATTGGCATGTGCGCGAAAGAATCGATTTTTTGGCCCGCGAGACCCTTCGGGGAACTTCCGCGAGCAAATAAGCCACGCCAACGGGCATCAATGTGTGGAGGTGGCGGATGCCCGCCCACCCTCTGATGGCCCCACGTAATACTGCTTGCAAGAAAGGACGGACGCGTTGTGTGCAGCAGAGTGGTGAAATTTCCTACGTGAAAAGAGCCAACAATGACCACGCAGAACGAGGAAAAAGAGCATTTGCATGTGGGGATCATCGGTATGGGAGATATGGGCCGTCTGTATGCCACGCGACTGCGCGCGGCTGGATGGGTTCACGTCAACGTGTGTGATCGACCAGAGAAGTATGAATCGCTACGGGATGAATTGCAGGGTACCGGTCTAACTGTGTTGCGTGATGGCCATCACGTATCGCGACGGAGTGACTTTCTCATGTACTCGGTGGAAGCAGGAAACATCCACAAGGTGGTGGCTGAATACGGGCCATCGACGAAAGTAGGTGCTGTGGTCTCTGGCCAAACCAGTGTAAAGGCGCCAGAACGAGTTGCGTTCGAGACCTTCTTGCCGGAGGATGTATACATCGTATCTTGTCATTCGCTGCATGGCCCGCATGTTGATCCACGCGGGCAGCCGCTCATTTTGATTCAGCACCGCGCACCCGCTGACAAGCTCCATCTGGTCGAGCGCATCTTGGCATGCCTCGAGTCCCGCTATGTGTATATGAGCTATGAGGAGCATGACACCGTGACGGCGAACACACAAGCAGTCACACACGCAGCATTCCTGACAATGGGTACTGCCTGGGCGCAGCTCCAAGCATATCCATGGGTGACAGGCAAGAATCCAGGTGGCATGGAAACAGTGAAAATCTACCTGTGTCTGCGCATCTATGGCGCAAAGTGGCATGTATATGCGGGCCTCGCACTACTGAATCCAGAGGCGAGCGTACAAGTGACGCAGTACGCAGCGAGTGCGACAGCTCTATTCCAGCTTATGCTCGAGGGCAAATATGATGCGCTCGTGCAGCGCGTACTGAGTGCTCGGCGCAGTGTATTTGGCTGGCAAGACACGGAAGTGGGCACGAACCTGCCTGGTCGCTCGCGGATTCTTGTAAGCGATGAGATGTTGGACGAGTTTTATGTGATTGCAGAGCGGGTCAACAAAGGCGAGAAGAGCGCTGCGGAGGCTGAGCGGACTGTGCGTGAAGAAGCGCCACCAGCGAATTCGCATCTGTCGCTTCTTGCGATCGTCGACTGTTGGCACGTTCTGGGCATCGATCCGTACCGGCATCTGGAGCTCGCTGCCACACCTGTATTCCGCATGTGGATCGGTGTGACACAGAACTTGTTCCGCTCGCCAGATCGAGTCCTGGCAGCTTGCCGAGCGGCCGTTCACGATGTGCACTTCCGCGCCGATGACCTGGAGTTTGTCATTGCCGCTCGCGGGTGGGCACAGGCGGTGCAATTTGGGGACTTTGATGCGTATCAACGGCGTTTTGAAACGACTCGTGCATTTTTCATGCCTCGCCTTTCGGAGGCCAACAAAGTAGGAGTTAACATGCTCTCAGTCTTATCGTCACAGTCATGCTCGTAACACACGTCTATATTAATATACATTCCCAACACGAATACTTACAGCACTACTTCAATCACATTCCAGCGCGACTTGGCATTTCATCAAAAAGATGAAAGAAACTCAATTCATTCACATCCTAACAAAGCAAAACTTAAAAACATAGTGAATAAACGAATCCAACATCCTTCCCTAGCAAGATCCCAATTCGAAGAATAAACCGAACTTACAAAAAAATCTAACCCAATTTTATAGGCCCAAGACACTCATTACGCTTCCGCACAAGATGCATGGGAGCAGCAGGGACTTGAAGTAGGGTAGAATAAGGAGTTTGTTTGATTCTATGGGGACTGTAACGTTCCGCAAGAACAACACTATGTTGGCTCAGACATTTTCCCTTTATTAAAAGCGGATGCGCAGATTGTTCCGGCCATATATGCGCCATAGCGCGAGGTATGGATTGATTGGAACGTGCGCGCTCGTTTGCCCTAATCCCCCACATTGTAGAAACCGAAAAGCCTATTGGTCCAACAAAGAGGTACCCGTACCGTATCGCGTATAAGGGCTGTTGCACGTGTGGTGTAAGGTTCAAAACCAAATCGTGCTAAAAAAGGTGTGATTTCAAACTCACGCACGTGGGCACCTTCACAGGCAGATTGCTGCACAACCATTAGATCTTCTACGGTGGACTAAGATGAGAAGCAATAAACACGCTTCACCTGAGCAGAACGAACCCCCCCAACATCGATGCATAGACAAATGGAGGATTTGAGAACCCAGGATCGTACTTGCACGAGTGGGTGTTTTTATCACCAAAGTTATAAGGACCAGGAGGATAATCAGCATCCAGTGCCAAAGTATGATGTCATGATATGCGGTGGTATGTAAGGGTTGAGACTACCATTCTCCATGATCGGCTTACGCATTTATGCCTGATATAACAGCTGGTCCGGTTGGCTTGGTCACTGCGGCTCAACTTTTGCGAATTGGCCTCACAGTCAAGATTGTCGATAAAGCCAGCGCGGCGCTGAGTGTTGGTCGTGCTGACGCTATTCAGCCTCGAATTCTGGAAATTATGAAGCAACTGGGATTGATTGACGAGTTCCTGGGGTCAGGGCCGCGGATCGACCATACAATTTTTTACAAGGATGGGAAATTCATGGTCTTTCGCCGCAGCCACTCGAGCCAATCTGAATTCAAGTTTCTTCAGGTAATCGGCCAACCCGAAATAGAGCGAATCCTGATTCGCGATATTGAACGGTTTGGATGTCATATCGACCGATGTACGACTCTGAGTGGTTATTATCCAGTCGAACATGTGGATAGTGCCGGGATCAAGAGAGTGAACCTTAGATTTCATTTGGATGACGGTAGGGACAATCGCGGGGCTATATGCGACTCCACTTACCTGATTGGCTCTGATGGTGCCCACTCATTTGTGCGGGCAAGTCTCTCAATTCCATTTGATGGCATCGCAACTGGTCTTGTTTGGCAAATTGTTGATTGTGAATGGGAAACAAATTTCCCACACGCTTGGGTTTTCGGTTGTGTGCTTAATAGCACTCATGGAGGTGTTCTCATTATTCCCCGGGAGAATAACATGGCTCGTTTATACGTGAATGTCATTCCTGAAGACGGTCAAGCTACTGTGGATCGCTCTAAGGAGTCTGTGTCCACGGCTTTAGAACGAATTAGGAAGGTATTCCATCCTTACACCATCAAACCGAAAGGACCCATTGAGTGGTACACCATCTGGAGTATCAATGAACGAGTCGCCAGGGATTTTTGTGATCCTACTAACCGCATATTCCTGGCCGGGGATGCTGCGCATTGCCACAGTGCGGCTGGTGCTTATGGACTCAATACTGGGATCATGGACAGCCAAAATTTGGTTTGGAAACTTGCTCTAGATGCCTATGGTATTGCAAAACCAAACCTGTTATCGTCGTATCAGACGGAACGCCGCTTCACTGCCTTACGTATCGTGGAGGGATCAAGCCAATTTCTTCGCTTCCTCTGTAATCAACAAAGCACAAGCACATTTGCAAAGCAATTTCAGTTCAACGAAGATGAAAAGTTTGAAGCACCTGTGTTTGTGGCCGAAAACGAACCAGAGGGCATGGATCAAGACCAAGCATTTTTCGCTTGGTACGCCAAGACATATACTGGTCTCCTCACTGGCATGGACGTTGGTTATAAACCAAGCTTGCTTAACGCATGGCCGGCGGCTTGTAAAAAGCAGCGAGCTGACCAAATTGCAGAAACGTATCTGTCCTCTCCTATGAAAGATGTATGCAGTGAGGGGAGTGCTATTGTTCCTGGACACCCTATGGGAAATCCACTTGTTTTCTCTCAGTCGCGAAAACGGGTCCAGCGCCTATACGATGGCTTTCTTCCATCCCCTGCTTTCAATATCGTTATCTTTATTGGGTCATTTAGTGGGCTAATTCGAGAATCCGTTCTAGATGCCGTCGCTCACTTCGCCCGACCTGAAAGTTTTCGATTAAAATTCACGTCACAGCCTATTTTCAAATTACACCTGGTGACAACAAGGTGCAACAGCATGGATACACATCAATGTGTGACGATTCCGTTAGGTCTCACGTTCCAAAACAATGCATGCCAAGGAGATGATCCGGATTCTTGGATCAGTGTATATTTGGATGATAAGCCAGAGGCTGAAAGTGCTCACGCATTTTTTGGTATTGAATCTAATGACTCATTAGAGCAAGAACGCGTCATGGTCGTGCGTCCGGATCTTTGGCTTGGTACTAAGACAACACTTTCCAATTTCAAACAAGGCCTTGAATCGTATTTTGACGGGTTTCTACATTCTTGAAGAATTGAAAGAGCATGGTTCATATGTGATCTTTTTGGACCCTCGAGAGTACGTGTGCAGGGGCCCTTGACACAGAACATACCGATGCCCTCCAATCCTTGCACGCGCTCGACGGTCTTATAGTGCTGACAATAATCCATAGTTCTATCTGTATGGAGTCTGAATGGGAGATTTTATTGACACCATGCATCAACACACGATGTGGACTTTTATGGCTCCCGATTCTGGCTGAGACAATGTGCGGAACGCTTCTGATGCTTGCTAACACCGGATGTTAACATCGATAGGATTATGAATACGTACCTGAATTGGAAAGACGTGTGTGATTAACAAAGATGGATCCACCACGCCATTCTCTACGAGACGGATACAGTCTTCAAAACATGAATTTGATCGCATGACAAATCGAAGATCCACCTGTCGGTGGAGGAGCTCAGAAAAAGAGAGCTCATTCACTGGTGCGCCAATGCCCACTTGCACTAAACATCCACCTGCTTCAAGAACACCCAAGCAAGTATGTATGGGCATACTGTACCCCGTGCACTCGAATGCAACATCAGGCTTGATACCCTTGAACGCCTGTAATACCTTAGTGCTAGCTTCAGCCATGGATTGATTGGCGTCGACGTGAACAACGTTTTCGATATTTGCACCCAGCTGTTGAACTGCAAACTCTAAGCGCGATAGAGCAACATCCACAAGGATAATCGGGGTTGCTCCAGCAGCTCTCGCCAACAAGTAAATCATAAGGCCAATAGACCCTGCGCCGAATATACAAACAGACAAAAAAAAAATCAGTTACCCAATGCGTACCTGTCCAAGCTGTAAGTTGGCACGCCTAAGAGCAGAAAGGGCTATGCTCATAGGCTCAATCAAAGCACCGATACCCCAATCTGTTGTGTCCGATAATTTATGCAGCCACGTTGCAGGATGGACCACGTACTCAGCTAGCGTACCTGAAGATGTTACCGTTTGACTGTCCATGTTTCTTACCGTCATGTGGAGCTACACTCCTGAATTTCATCTTGGGACAAAGATTGTACGAGCCATTACGACATTGTCGGCAGTGTCCACAGGCAGTTCCAGGCTCGATTGCAACATGGTCACCAACTCGTAATGTGTCTACGTTAGCCCCAATCTCCACGACTTCGCCTGCACTCTCGTGACCAAGCCGAAGTGGTACCGTGATTTGACAACCACCTATGCCTCCTTGTTTCCAATTCGAGCAGTCAGAACCACAAATCTGAAAGCATCGTCAGAAAACACCATCGACCAAGCCGTACTCACACCACTAGCTCTAACTCGGACAATACATTCGTCAGGACCGGGAACAGGATAATCTGTGAAACCAATAAAAATGTTGTGGTCTTTATCCGTAAATACACCTGGAACTTTGTGAGAAATGTCACACATCATAGCAGTTTGATGGTTGACTAAACTGTCAGCTCAAGATCTTCGCGAGCTATCCAACTTGAAATTGTTATTGCTCTTGCTCTTTACCCCGCCGTCATTTTAAATCCTGATCGAATTGCCTGGGTATTAGACTGGTCTGTGCGTCGTCGGGGAGGTTAAACTGCACGTTGAACATCCCGAGCAAAAATCGAACCAATTGTTTTTTTTTTACTCGACAACAATGTTGTTGTCCTGTAATCACGGAGCCCGAAATAAGTGTGTACGTACACATATATAAACAAGTATGTTGCCATTTGGATCTTGGCTCTGGACAAATATGACCACCTCTAATCCAATCATTGCTGTTACTGGGGCTACGGGATTCGTTGGAGCACATGTAGTACGTGATGCACTTGCCCGTGGATACCGCGTTCGCTCGGTTGTGCGAAGTGAGAAAAAAGGTGACGAATTGCTTCGATCGATGCCTGGACCAAGCCATTCTCTTGCGTTCGTTTCAGATATTCGTAACAAAGATGAACTCAAGCAAGCGTTCAAGAATGTGAAAATAGTACAGCACGTGGCATCACCGTATACAATGGCATTCGATGATCCTGTCTCTGAAATGCTGGAACCAGCGATTAAGGGAACTATGAGTGTACTTGAGGCAGCAAATGAAGAGAACGTGGAACATGTCTTGATTACTTCGTCATTTGCTGCCATCAACTGTTTCGAAAAAGGAGGCTCAATTCGAGATTATACATACACAGAAGCTGACTGGAATCCCGCAACGTATGATATTGCGAGGACGTCATCTAAAGCCTACACTTACTGTGCCAGTAAAGCTCTTGCTGAAAAGGCAGCTTGGGAGTACGTTCGCGAAGCTCAACCTTCGTTTGCTTTGACTACATTCAACCCTCCAGGGATTGTTGGACCGATAGCGCATCCATTGGAAAGGCTCGAAGATTTGAACACGTCTTGCGCAAATGTTTGGCACTTAGTCTCAGGGTCTTGCGATGAAGTGCCTCCCACTTTTCTTCCACAGACCGTTGATGTTCGTGACGTGTCAAAAGCTCTGGTTGACGCTATGTCAAATCCAGCTACACGCGGAGAACGTTTTGCCCTTTGTGGATACTATGTCGACATGCAAGTGGTTGTTGATTATTTGCGGAAGACATTTCCAGAACGTCGCGATGCTATACCAGCTGGTAATCCGGGTACAAGGAATCAGCCGGGGCCAATTGCAAGGCTGGATGCATCCAAAGCTGAGCGTGTGCTGGGAATTACGTGGACACCGTGGGAAAAAACGTATGGCGATCTCGTAAAGCAACTTTTGGAGCTCGAGGAGAAATTCAAAGCCGAGCGCTCCAAGATGCCAGCACTCTGATTTAGATCCGAATCGATTCATAGAGCCTTCTAAACAGGTGTGTGTAACTCTAGCTATCTTACAAGTTGTCTACTTAGTTATTATACTCTGGAGCATATCCGTACGAGTTCCGTTCACGAGACACCTGGCCGAGCTTAGAAAGGATTCTTGGGTAATCACATCGCGCAAGATATACCTCCAACAACATAATCGATTGTGTGCTCGAGGCTGTAAAATCGTCGAAAGCACATTGCACATCTTTCGCAGTTTTTGCGACGATACTGTTTCGTTCATTTTGGTCTGCACCAAAATCCTTTAGTAGCCTTGAGTAGTTCCAGGGCATAATATCGTTGTACTGCCTGAAGGCACCATGAAGTGCGCGTTCGATGGTATATCCATCGTTGTTCAGCACAATAATGATCACGTTGCTAGCACGAATACGAAGAAGTGTAGACAGTTCCTGAACTGTAGTCTGAAGAGCCCCGTCGCCCACGATTATAATTAGACGCCTAGGTAGTTTGCCAATCGTCTGCTCTTGCAAAGCTTTTGCAGCACCTACGGCAGCACCAACGGACCATCCAATCGAATTGTAAAGCATCTGAGAAAGCAGCTTAGAATCCCTCGGGAGTCGGATATCCGTCACACCAAACGATGCTGTTCCAGTGTCACATATAACCACGTCGTTGGGTTTAAGGAATTGAGATATTTTTGCCCATAAATGAGGTTGGGTGATCATACTGTCTGAGTCCGTGTTTGACACAATGTTATTTCTTGAATCAAAAACAGGTGCTTGTTTTGAGATGGGACACCTAGACACATGCGCAGAAAGGTGCTCAAGAATATGTATCATCATTGAAACACTTTGCTCAGGACCGTCAAAGAACTGCACTTGTTTCACATTAAGATCAATTAGCTTGTGAGGGTCAATTTTAGCACTAAAGCCACCTGTATTCGAATCAGTCTCCAGGTATCCAAAGCGCACAACGAGATCAGCCTCACCAAGCCTACTTGCCACTTCAGGATTTGAGCTGGCACCAATATAAGTACCCATGAATGAGGGTGCAGTTTCATCAACCAAACCTTTGCTAAGGGGAGTGTCAAAAGTCGGTAGCTGCAACGTGTCAAGCAATTTGCTCAAAGCCTCAGAACAGCCATATTGTCGCACTCGAACATCGGCAATGATCACAGGACATTGCGCAGCCTCAATGTAGGTCAAAATTCGGCGTGCAATTTCTTCATCTAGAGGTGAGATTGGACCACGACTCTGTTCCACTAAGGGGAAAAGGAGTGGAGCACCTGAGATCTCTCTAAAGACCATATCCGTTGGAATGGAAAGGTATGCAGGACGCCGGTCTTGCAGTGCACACCGCAAGACGTGGTCTATCGTATCCGCTTGACCTGTTTCACTGATCTCCTCCATTACCGTCGATACAGGCTCGGATATTCTCTTATACACTCCGAAGTCTCCATCAGCGAAGGAATGGTGAATAGGAAGGCGCTTTTTGGCTTGTATGGTGGGGGGAGAGCCGATTATATGAAGCAAAGGAATTCTCTCTGCATAAGCACCAGCTACTCCATTCAGCGCTGACAGTTCACCAACACCCCATGTCGTGAGGAGGACACCAAATCCATTCACACGGGAATAGCCGTCGGCAGCATACGCTGCACCGAGTTCATTGGCGTTTCCTATCCACGACAATCCTGGCATGTCTTCGATCAAATCACACAGTCCAAACGTGAAATCGCCAGGAACGCCAAATATTGACCCCACCCCCATTTGTTTCAACCTCTGCAGGAGATAATTTCCTACATAGACCTGATCTTTGTTTGAGGCTTTCTCCATGACGTCGCAGCGATCACTATTTGGACAGTTGAAGTGACAAAAGTTACACTTATAAACCGCATTTCAGACATCCAAACCTACATGCTTGTTGAGGATACCTGCAAGGGCTGTGCACGTGTCAAGGATAAAATCATCAGGCCTCTATTTCGTACCTGCGGTAGCGCAGAAATGATGTGACCAAAAATATAAATTACCTGTGATTTGTGTTGGTTAGTAAGGCATGTGCCCGCAAACGTAAAAATTGTTAGCGGCCTAAAGCATGTTGAGGGATTTTCGTACTTCGTACGGTTAGAGCTCATGATGGTCTCGTACCGTTTGTCCCATCACAGGACACTCACCGATTTGTTCGTTCACAATGCGAGTAAATCTGGATTGGAAATCAAAGGCACCTGAAGCGCCACAGCAAAACCATAATGATCCTTATATTCCGACGATGGAATTTAAAAAAGATGCGAGCCCCAGTCAGATGCCACCTGAAAATGCGTCTGATTCTACTATTTCATCCAAAGTGGGAGTGCACACAGTAGGTCCTTGGAGAAAATGGAGTATTTTGTTTTTTATTTGTTATGCTCAATTCTGGGACATTGTAAACGTTACAGCACCAACCATCGCGCTACCTACAATAGCCCGTAACCTCAACATGACTGCCTCTCAAAAGCCATGGATTGTTTCTGCCTATGCTTTATCTTTCGCTGGGCTTCTTCTCCTCAGTGGACGACTAGCAGATATGCTCGGTCCCAAAAGGACATTTATTTTTGGGTATTTTGTGTTGGGAATTTCTGCTATTATCGCAGGAGTTTCGCCGAATGCTATTATGCACTTTGTATTCCGAGCTATTCAAGGAATAGGTGCAGCCTTAACCATCCCGTCGGGTATGTCCCTCATTGCTACCCATTTCCAAGGGAAACTGTTTTCTATCGCCTTTGGAATTTTTGCCGCCGCAGGTTGTATTGGCAACGTCCTTGGTGTCATAATTGGTGGTGTCATTGCAGCCAAAATTGATTGGCGATGGATTTATTACATCACGGCGATCTGCACTTTACCAGCAGGTATAGCATCAATTTTTGTATGTGTGCACATCGCACCAGGAAAGCCGTTCTCATTGAAAGGATTAGACGTTCCAGGAGTTTTCCTGGCGACTTCAGCTGTCATACTTATTACATTTGCCTTTTCAGGTGCATCAAGTTTTGGCTGGGTAACAGCAACTATACTTGTGCCTCTCATTCTAGGAGTGCTACTATTTATTGTATTCATCTATGTGGAGCACAAGGTGAAAGATCCTGTCGTCCCGCCTTCATTATTTTCTGTGGAGTTTTTGGTTTTTGTGGGGATTGCCTTTAGCCTGTACTTTTGGTTTAACAGCCTGGTCTATCAAGTTACAATGGT